TTGGCCAGCATTAGATCAGTGCTGCTTGCAGCCTTAATGATTCCAGCTGCTGGGTAAAATCTTGTGTGTGCAGGTTTTTTTTTCCTTCCCTCCACTCATTTGCTTTCCTTCCTGGGACCAGATCCCTGGCTGGGTCTGGGCAGCGCCAGCAAATGCAGCTTTGTGCCCAGGCAGAGCTGTGACGTCTCTTTCATCTCCCACTGGCGTCGTGGGACGAGGGTGCTCTGGGCCAGGCTTGTCCTGCGTTTCCAGGCAGAGCGGTTTCCCACAGGGTAGAGCAGCGTCCTCTGCAGCTCTACCATCTCCCCAGTGTGCACAGCTCTCCACTCTCAAAATCATGCCAAATAGGCTCATGAGGAAAGGGCCCCTCCCACGCAATGGCAAAACAAGCCCTACGGCTGCCCCTTCCCCGCAGGGTCTCAAAACATAAACCCAGGGGAACCAAAGGGTTTGCTGCAGGAGTAAGAGGTTCTGGCCTGTCCCTGTAGGTGCCTGGCACTTCCAGCGCTCTGACCATCTCGGTAAACACTGGGGAACTCACAGCCCTCCTGGGACTCGGGAGTAGTTAGAGCGTTGAGAGCCGCTCGGGGTGGGTGCAGCGTGCTTTCTATGGACCCCCTCCCCAGCTGCCATCAGCCTGTGATGGTGTGTCCCCCACACACCTGCAATCACTCCATCCCCCCATGTGTGTCTGGGCGTCATGTCGCTCGCATGCGTCTCCTTCACAGCGCCACATCCAGCATCTTTCATAGAATATCAGGGTTGGAAGGGACCTACATCTCTGTCTTGCCCCATGTGCACCCCCCCGGCGTTCTGACATTCCGCACGCTTTCACAGACAGACCGCCCTGCCTGAGCCTCCCAGCCGGCCAGTGAGGGAGGGACCATCTTTTTGTTGTGTCTATACAGTGCCTAGCGCCGTGGGGTCCCCTGACACAATGCGGGCTCCTGGGCCCTACAGTAATACATGTAGTTACTAATAACATGACGGCATTGATAGCAACGTAGTTCTGTAATTGTACATTGATTGTCCCAGTGTATCAGCACAAACCTCCAAAGCTAAGACTGCTTATTCACGAGAAGCCTGCCTCTCTCCCCCTCTTCACTCTTTGCAGCTCGGCCTGGTTTCGCTTTTCAGGTGAAATGTGTTGAAGCCTGACTGCAGTGAGCCCCCAGGGGCCCCAGGTCACTGCCCGGGAGCCCAGGTGCTCTGAAGTGTGGAGAAGTCGGGCACAAAGCTGCTTCCTCATGCTCTCCAAGCACAGCCATCACAAGAGCTGTCCAGTTCTCATGACTGGGCAATTAAGCAACTCAGCTCTGGGCCCAGGTGTGGAGAAACCAGGGCCTCAGAGTTAGTGACTCTGCAGATACCCATTGCAGGCTAAAAGAGAGGGCTTCAGGCTGCAAATATTTAGACAAATATTACTTGGTTGCCATAAGAGAGAGGAAGTGAACTAATTCCTGGCCCAGGGCTGGGTCTTTGTCTGAAGCCCTGCAGCTGTTCAGTGGGACTCAGACAATGCTAATGCTGCCAGCCAGGCTTAGGGTGTTGGTGCCGTGCCTGGCTCCCTGATCTGCTGGCTCGAGCTCAGGGACAGCGCTCTTCTCCCCAAAGCAAGGGGGTGAGCAGGTTGAGGGGCAGGAAGCCAATTCGGCCCCTGGTATAAAGGCCAGGTTTGAAGAGGGACTGTGAGCAAGTTGATCCTGCATGGTGCTTTGGGCAGTGATCGCAGCCGGCTAGCCAGTCGGATACCTGGCGCTGCTGCAAGAAGTACCCGTGTTGTGTGGGTGGCTTCTCTGGGAGTGAGGCCTGGGATCCCTTCCCAAAGGGATCTTGTAGCCCTGGCCAAACAGCAAGCTCAGTTCTGCTCTGTGACACCTGGGCCGTGGTCAATCCAACGGGGCCCAGCTGCTTGCTGGTGAATTCTCTCTAACAGCCGGTCCCCGCTGCTGGGTGTATCCCAAGCGAGGGGTCACCACACACAGAGCCATGGGGAATCTCCACACCAGGCGCCAAACCTTGGCCTTGCATTGCATCCTACAGCTGAGGCTCTAGCCAACAGCGCTCTGGCGGTGGCTATGCCTACGCGAGGGGCCAGAGGTGGGCTGCTCCTGCTTGTGAACGTCGACAGACCCCCGGGGGTCGGTGGGTGGGATTGAACTGGGGACCGCTGGAGCTTAGCCTCTACCACACAAGCTAAAAGCCAGCTGGCTGTTAGCTAAGACTGTAGAGCAGACTCAGTTTAAGTGGTCTCCGGGCCACTGGATGGGCCCGAGCACCACCCCCAGAAGGTGGGTGGGTGGGTGGGTCACGCGTGTACTGCTGGCAGCTCAAGCTGGGCAGCCGTGGGAGGTCGTACCCGCTGCACGCAGGCAGCTCTGGGGGCTCGAAGTTCAGCCCAGCCTCTGCTACCACAGCCATGCTGCTCTTGCTCCTCTCAGCAGGTCGCCTCAAGGGAGCATGAGCCTGACCCCGGTGCAGTGGAGACATAAGCCTACAGGCTCCCCTGCCAGGCGGGCGGGGAAGCTGAGCTGTCTAACGGGGGTGTGTGGGGAGGGAATGTGACTGCATGTTTCCAGTGAGAAAGGCCCCCGGCCTCCCGAGCTGCTTGGCTGCCGTTCAGGGGCCCAGAGTGACGCCTGCAAGCAAACTGGCTGAAAAAGGGCCTGGCTTCGCAGAAGAAATTGCCCTGGAGAACACGCTGCCGCCTGGCGCGAGCGAGTGAACGATTTCTGCTGCGCGTTGCTGTGTAAATGGGTTTGGGGTTCAGCCACGTGTTAAATGGCGACACGTCTGCATTTGGCACAAACTTCTCCCTGCATTTTGGCTCCTTGCCGAGGCCGCTTGTTTCTAACAATAACTAACTGCCCCGGCAATGCGGCAATGCAGCGCTGCGGGCGTGGAGCTCGGCTGGGCCCTGCCCGCTGCGTGGCACAGCGGCGATATTCCTGTGCCACCAGCTCGCTGGGGCGAAGTGAGTGATGCGGATGCAGCAGCCATGCTGGGCTCAGCAACAGAGGGGAGCCCTGGGGCAGGGGAGCATGGAGGTGCGGGGGGCTAAGCAAGGAATGGGCCTACTGTGCCCTCCCCTCCCCTCCCCACTGCCACGCTTGCTTGCATGACAAAATGGGCTAGCTTGGGCCATTGAGGGAAAAGGGGGAGAAGCCTGGTGAGGTGTGTGAACCCCGAGCAACCCCCTTCCAATGCAGGTAGTGCAGGAGGGCCTCTCCTCTGTGCTCTCACTAGCTTGCAGCCCCTTGCGGAAGTCGCGCTGCTTTGGTGTGGCATTGCCAGGGCATGAATCGCTTTACCTCCATGTGCCCTGGCTGGCTGCAGCCATAGGCCACCTTGGAGCTATAATCATGGGACAGCTCATCAAGCAAATCCATGTCAGACTGGAGCCCTCCAAGGAAATCCCCTGGGGCCAGTATTACCTTCTGCCCCAGGGGCATGGTAAAGGCAAAAGCTAAATCTCTGCCCATGCATATCTGTTAAAGAGCTGCTACCTCGAAGGCCCTGGCTAGTCTTTGCTGGGATAACTGGAGTCTGCCTCCTAAATTCTCCCTGGTGTGTCAAGTGGCTAAAGTATGTGTCTGTGCCTCACCTAAATGGTCATGTTGCTGTGCTTTAAACTCCTGCTTCCCACCCTAGAGGTGGCTGCAATTCAGCTTTCATGCACTTGGGGTCCTGGGGGATGCCAAATACTAAGGCAATGTCAGCTATTAGGAACGTGCAACTAGGTATGAGTGGAATGAGGCTACTGGTTTCCTGGGGCTAGACAGGCAACGCATGGAGGGAATGGGATCAGCGGCCTAGCTGTGAGTACAGGGTAGGGGCGCTCTGCACAGGAAGCATTTGTTCCAGACTCTTATTTCCAGCGTGGCAGCTCCCCTCTGGGCTGATTTATTCACATGCCTCCCCTAACAGCCAGCGCCAGGAAGGCACTTTGATTTCTCATGCCTTCCCTTTTATGGGGCTGCAAATTGGAAAATCTGAGGAAAGTGGTTTCTTTAACTGCCTCCCCCTGCTGAGAAACGCCCCCAGCCCAGGTGTGGGCCCCTCGTTCCCCACTTTAATTGTGACAATATTTTAATGAGCCTGTCAGGAGGCATCCAGAAGGCTGAGCATCCAGCGTGTCAGAGCAGGGATTCTGTGCCAGGACTGGCACCCAGGCTGTGTCTGTGCCCTGGGTGCAGGGGCCTACTGCTGGAGTCTCCCCTCTCCCCTGGGCTGTAGAGTGCCCGCCTTGGGCCTGATGGAGTGCCCGTGGTTGCTGTACTTCTCCCCTGCACGGGGGCAGGTTTGCCCGGCCTAGGGGCGGATCCCAGCCACACACAGTGTCTCTGTGTTCCTGGGATCTAGTTTCTCGGTGTGCATGCTGTAGCCAAAGGGTATCAGTGTCTCTGGGGTCCTACGGGGGAGGGGGCTGGTGCTAGGGGGAGCATGTCTGATCAGTCTTCCCTGGCACACACCTTGGTGCTGCCATTATCTTAGTAAACCCTGGACCGCCTGCTCTGCTTTAAAAAAATCCCTTCTCCTGCGTTTATGCACCTTGGAACTTTCTTTTGTATCTTGTTCAACTGTTCTCCTGGTGGAGGGGGAGGTTCCAAGATCTGTGCCCCATGTCTGGCATCAGTCTAACACGGCTGTATCCTGAAGAGTAGGGGTGGGTGCAAGGTGCAGCGTGAATGTCCTCTGATGCCTTGGTGCTGTTCTAAGTTTCACTGGAGATCAGGCTTCTGCCAATCCTCCCCCTTGAGACCTTGACCCTAATATGGTGGTTTCCAGTATCTCCCCTTCTGCTTCCCTGAGATCTTTTTGTTTCTGTCTAGGAACATCCTCCCTCCCACTAAGTGGGAGGTCTTGAAGAGACCTCTAGTTGTGTTGGAGTTTTACTCCCATAGAAGACGAATGACTCAGACAGCAGAAGCCAGGTCAGGTTGCCACCCAGGGCCAAACAGGGTAGGAGCTGACTGATTAAAGCTATGGGAGACCTTACATAAAATAGCTAAATAAATCTTTAATATTTCTAATTGCAAATGTACAGAAATTGCACGTCCACATCATCTCTTTGAACACCAACAACTTTCTCTGTACATTATTACATAGTTTAAAAGAGGCTGAAGGAGTTTCAGCAAACACTTCCACTTCGCTTTGTTTTTTAAACATACTTACAAAAAAGGTTTTTTGTTTGTTTTTTTTCGTCATAAGAGGATATAAAACATAGCGACTGCTCATCAGGAACAAGTATCAGCCTAAGCAGATATACAGAGAGAGGTATATCTTAAGACACAGTGATGGATGATAAAGGAATATGGGACCATGGAGACTGCACTTTGGGTACCGATAGTTGATGCAGAACCACATAAAATTTACAGCAATGTCACACCTCACGTTACCTGTGAAAGTCAAGTAGCGAAACCAAAACCCTGCTCCAAAGCGCCAGCATTTGAGGATTGTTGTGGACTGTCCATGGGCTGTAAAGCCTCTGCTCAGCAGACGAACAGGTTCCTCTCTGGCCCAAATTAGATACTCCCCCTCCAAGAACAGAAAATGACAACGCTTCTCTGCCCAGCAGTCACACAAGGGGGCCCGTAGCTGACCCATCAGGTGGGGGGCCATTCGCGCAGACACAGTATCTGGCTAGAAGTGAACGGTCTCCCTTCTGGGGCAGTTCAAGGAATCGCTTGGGAACTAGGGAACAGCAGCAGCCGCACTCACTTTAGAGGCCAGGACTAGACAGGCGGAGTCGGAGTCCCAGCTCACCCTGAATACAGCCCCTTTTGGGGCAGGGCTGCAGCATGCCAGAACAGGGATGGAAGAGACCCAGAGGTGACCTGGGGGGAGGCCAGGCCCTGGAGATCAGTGCAGGGTTGTCCCCCCCTGTACATTTGCTTGGTGCTTTCTCAGTGGAGGGTAATGAGCTTGGTGGAACTGACGAAGCACAGCTATTGTCACCCAGGTCCAGCAAATCCCTACAGTGTGCCTGGGGAAACCTCCAGTCTATGGATTCCAGCATAACTCGGTGTGTCCTGCATCTGGCAGTACGTTACACAGCTGTCCTAAAGCGGGGAGCCAAGACACTGCTCACAATTCCAGGAATGCTCTAACAGGGACAAGCAAAAACCACAATGCTGAAGGGACAGAGTGCAGACTTCCAAGGACCTGTTTGGGTGGAGGGCATTTCTGCTTAATAGATTGGGGGGGGGGGGGGAAGCGGTTGGTTCCTAAACTATTGTAGTTGGTAGGAAGTCTCCCTGGAGCTTCTGGCTCTGAACTTAAAGCACAACCCCCACTGTATTAGATTTATAGCGTGCAGCAACCATGGGATATTTCACACCCCAACGCCTCGCACGTTTTCTCTCCATCACCCCAAATCAAAACCCTGGATCCATCCCAGCCCCCAAGGGGCAGCTGAAATCTGAACCCAGATCTGAATTTGCTTACTTGAGCCCACCTCTGTTTAAAAACAAAACAAAAAAACCCAAACAAACCAGCGGTAGAGACACTCAACTCCTGACCAAATAAGCAGCACCAGAAGTAAATTACTATATACAACTGTTAGGTGAATAGGTACATTACAGTCAAACACCAAGAACATATACAAAAAATTGTAAGACTTGCATTAAGATAAAAATCTGTGAATGTTTGTTTTGTTTACACAGTTACAGTTTTTGCACTAGAATAGGCTCTTGTCGCAGAAAGCACGAGAACGAAAACAGCAGGTCGCATGATGGTCAGTAGAGTGGTTGTTTTACTCTCTGTTGCTGGGAACACCTCTGCAAATTGTCTCTGGTATTGCTATGCGAAACACCAGGCTTGAGGACAGGAATTGCACTCACACCCCCCCCCACTGGTGTGCAGCTCATAAATAACAAAACCACAAACTGAAGTAACACACTAAGAGATGGGCCTGAACCAAACCTCCAGATCTGGATCCCATGTTTTAGGGGACATCTCTACAAAGAAGAGATTTCTTCTGGGACTGAGTTCCTTTTCATACTGGCTCAGGAAACTACAGATCAGAAGGTGTCAGATCCGGAAATGTTAGTTTTTAAATAACTCCCCGTGGAAGGGTTTAGGTTTTTCTGCTACACCAGCAGCACACCGTGCATGCTTTAACTGAGATTTTGGTGTTAACCAAGAGTTCGTAATGTAGTCCCTAAAAAGTTTTGGTAGCAATGGATTGGCTCAGGGCTGAGGAGTAGGTTAAGATGTATGGTACTTAGCTTCAGTACTAAATAGACAATTGTTTCGGGGATCCCCCTGCCAGTTCTTAGGGCAAGCACTGAATTTGCATCCAAAAACAGTTCCCTGAAGTTTCCGTGTAAGAATGGAAATCAGTCCCTGCTAGGGCACCCTTCCACCACTCCTTCCTAGCATTCTAAGTGAAACAGCTTCCATCTTTCATAGGAGGAATATTTCAGACCCTAAAAAAATAACCAGAGCTAAAAGTACATCTCCAGGCACCAGCTGCTTAAAAAGAGTCTTTTTTTGCAGGGTTCTGTAAAGGTATTTGACACTGAGACAAAGGCGGGTGTAAGCGTATGTACCAAATTGTTCATAGTACCCTGTATACGCCTAACCTGTCTGGGTCTTTCTCCAGGGGCTGTCAGTTTTGTGAGCTTCTTCAAAGCCACTTGTGCTAATTCTCCAATATTCAGTGGTCACTTGGCTCTGAGGAGCTCCTCTTTTTGGTCTTACGTTCACGCCACACTGTGAATTTAAATCAAGAGATGGGACGGCATTCCTTGCGTGTGGAGAGCTTCGAGCGCAGACAGGCCGTCAACCATCCAAGATCCGGAGCTGCAGAAGTTGCAGCCCTATGTGACCTGGGCTGGGGCTTCCGTGGAAGAGAAGCTTTTAGAAAAAAGCAGCTTTAACTTTAAAATAATCCCCTCCACAGTGAATCTTTTTAGGATTTGCGGTGGCAGGACAACAGAGAAATGCAAACAGTGTCCTGCTAGCACAGACTAGATACTGTGGAGTTGGGACCTAAGCCTAGCACAATTCAGTATCCTAGTCCCTTCTGACTGTACATTTAAACATGGCACTGGGCAAACTAGGATAAGCATACAGCAAGTATGTGCTCCTAATGGGCGGAATAGGCAGATGTCCTATACACTGTACAGTGGCATCCATGTCTCAGAGAAACCATCTCTCTGGGTCTCCGTATTAATGACCTGTTCTGAGACTGGGAATCAAGAAGGACTAACTTTAAAAAACAAAAACAAAAAAACCTGCACTGGCAGCAGGTCAGTGGCATAATCCCCCTCTAAGGAGATGGCCCCTCCGCTGAGCAACACACGTCTGAATGTGCCGAATCTACTTGTTTCAGCAGTTAGGAAAGTCTAATCCTGGCTTATGTCTGCACAGTGCCTCCTGACCATGGGAATTTCGGTGGCTGCTGCTGTTCTTGTTGGTTATTCCCTTATGACCATGTTTTACATTCTTCGAGGCTGTTAATTTCCGTGCAGTGCTCATTCCCAATTTAAAGAGGACAGTATTCCAGAAAATGGGCTGTATTTTTTTCTAATGCATACTGTGAAAGAAAAGAAATATAATTACCAATCTTCATGCTTCTTCAGGGTTTTTCTTTTTCTTGAATGTTTAGCACACACCTTTGCATATAGCACCCCCACCCCCTCCGCACAAATAACCCTTCCTTTTCTGAGCAAGCAGCCACATCCTAAACAAATGCTGGTGTAAAACTGATTCCACTCCCTGAATCGTGATGGGGCTTCAAGACATTTTTCGGCATGATTTTTGGCTAGTAACCCACACTTCACAACCCAACCGCTAAGCAGCTGGGTGAGCTGAGTGGACGTGATATTTGCTGTGTTCAATAGCAGGAAGTTTAGTGGGATGCTACTCATGTGGAACGTTTCACTGTGTTAGATTTGTGACAAGGTAACATGCCCCTCCCTCCCCTCCTTAGATTGCCAAGAAGAAACTCCACCTAGAAATAAAGACACCATCCCTAGAACACCAGCTCCCCTTCTCTGCTGGCGTACAACAGTCCCGCTGCCTTGGACACAAGCCTGCACCAGCTGCACTGGGCTTGGCGTCTGACTGGTAGGTTGGCAAAAAGTAAAGCAAAGACAGAGAGCTGTTCTCTTGCTGCAAGGTGCCATCGTAGGTGTAATATGCATGGACTCTCCCGGGAGCGCCGGACTCCTACAGAGGTAACACTTGCTGCGACACTGCTTAGCCCAGCAATTCTTGCTAAAGTGCTATTTACTCTCCTCCCAGGTGACCTGCCCTGTTGTCTATCTAGGGATACCTAGATGCGTTACCTAGGGAGGTGGTAGAATCTCCTTCCTTAGAGGTTTTTAAAGTCAGGCTTGACAAAGCCCTGGCTGGGATGATTTAACTGGGAATAGGTCCTGCTTTGAGCAGGGGGTTGGACTAGATGACCTTCAGGGGTCCCTTCCAACCCTGATATTCTATGATTCTATGATCTGTGCCAGCATTCCTTTGGCTCCCACCCCGCACACATAGCGAGCTTTGTCCTTGCTCTTCAGACCCTGCTCTCCTGAGTCACTCGGATTTCATTCAAACACCAGTTCCCTTGGGTGAGCGTCAGACTGAGAGTGGCCCAGGAAACCTCTCTTACTGCACAAGGCCGGGGGAAAGGTGCTTGTGCAGGGACCAGTGCATGGAGCACGCTCCAAGCGGTGCACAGGAGCGATGTGCTGCGGCCACCCCGACCTGAAGCTACACAGAATGACCCACCGAGCAAACCAAGTGCCATGGCAGAGCATTTCCTGACCAGGGCTGGAATTAGACTAAGTGGGTTTCAGACCGATACATTCTCCTCCTCCACTGAGCGTTTACCCGCAGGAACCCACCACTGAACACACTTTAACTAGCCTGAGTGGGCCTGGCGCAGGCTTTCCCAGACTCCTTTATTTTGCTTACTGGCACGCCAAGGCCATTATCATGGGCCAGGAGGAGTGTGAGGTATGTCCTTGGGGCAGTTGGAGAAGGAAAAGGTTAAACATTAAACACTGACTTAAATCCACCAGTGACAGCAATCCCCCCCGCATACAGAGCTCTCCTTTTGCCACACATTTCACACAACTCGGTCTTTTGGTCCCCTCAACTTGCTGGCGTTGGCGTCTCCCACCAAGGAGCAGTCAAGTGCGCCGTCTGCAGTAAGGAGCTGGTTCCTTGGGGAGTGGGGGGGGAAAGACAGCAGCCATTCTCTGAAGCACGGCTCACCCCTGCTGCTGCGCAGTCTTTCAGGCCAGGCCTCCTCTCCTGCAGCAGCTCCCTCCGCGGGTTAACAATTGCTGCTGTTTCTGAATTCTCCGTTCTCTGTAATCTGTAATTTAGTTGGGTTTGTGGGGGAGATCCCGTTACGTGTCTGCATGCTGTACCTCTCTTTCAGCTGAGTAAGGGCACTCATTAACCGTGCGTTGGCCGCATCCAGTGAAGCAATACGTTTCTCCTGCAACCAAACAGAAAGTGGGGCACTTTCAGTGAGCGTGCCTGTGGAAACTGCCTCCATGAGACCTCATCTCTTGGCACAGGTGTGCAAAGGCAGGGTCAGCTTTGGTTTAGCAAACCCAGGGAGGATTTGGATGCAGGTCCTGTTCTACAGGAGCTTGCAGTTGTTGGGGGTTGGACAATTTGAGAAAACGGTACCAGTTCAGAGCCAGGGGTATTGGGATATCTCTGTCCGAAAGGACAATGTTAACAGATACCACTGCCAGCCCTGCCCTCCCTGGGCCAGCCTCTCTGCAGATAACAGCTCGGCTCACACAAACTCCAACATGTCAGGCTTTCAGGCTAGTGGAATCAGAGCTAAATTCATTTCATCATGTTCTAATTGACCCTGAACAAAACAGAGATAAAATGGCTTCTATTATTCTCCCAATTATACAGGCATGTGCCACACGCGGTTTTTTTCCTCCCACCCAGCAGCAGTTAGAATGAGGAGAAGGTTCATGTTCTAAAACCCAATTCTCTCCTTCAATGGTTATTCATATCCATGTTTAATTGATTTTGTTTTAATGGATGTTGATCGTTCAAACGCCTCGCAGCCTGCCCAGAGAGCTGCGACGGCCGGGTCCCATTTCGCGCTGAATACAGAGGGGGCAGAGTCCAGCGTTATGACGGCAAGGATGGGTGCCAAGCAGTCCTGTGCTGCCATCTGGTTCTGACACCATCTCCCTCTGTGAACTTGGGTAAGTCACTGAGCCCTCCCTCCGTCGTCAGTTCCCCCAGCTGCAGCCTGGGGATAGAAATACTTACCTGAGGGATGCTCAGAGGCTGGACTGGTGACGGTTTGTGTGTACGCGGCTTTGAATACCGTTCTTCCCCGCACACGATTCTAGCACTGAGGCTAATCTTAGGGTGGGGTGGAACCCAGAGGCACAGAAACTGGTTACAAATGGAAAGGTGACGCTCATGCTCTAGGGTTGCAGCTGCAGGGTCCGGAAGGGACCTCCAGGATGTTCTGGGTTTGAGGTTTTCTTCTTCCTCTGAAGCATCGGGGCTGGCCACGGCCAATGATGAGACACTGAGCAGGGAGCACCAGGTCTCGGAGGTAGCCCTGAGCATTTTCTCTTCCAGGCGCTTGGCCGCCTGGTTCTTGCTCACACGCTCAGGATCTCACCGATCCCCATGTGTGGGGGTGGGGAAGGAATCCCCCCCGGGTTAGACTGGCAGGGACCTTGGGGCTTTTTGCCTTCCTCTGCAGCGCGTGGGTGCAGCTCACTGGGCATATCTCACTTCATCATTTCCCTGCCATGGCTGGGGCCTCAGGAGGGACGGAGGGCCACCAGTGCTTATTGTCAGCCTGTGGCCTGTCGCAGTCTAGTCACCTGTGGGCTGTAACACTTTGGATTTAGGGTGTAGGTGCTAGGCTGAGGAATGTGTGCAATTCCGGCTTTAATGCTCCAACTCAGAGCAGATCCAGCACTAGTTCCTTTAGAAGAGCAAGCAGACCTTGTCGACACTGAATTGCGCTCGCTCTCCGGGACGTGCACCTCACAATGGGAGGCTGCGTGCAGTCTTTGCTCAGGAGTAGTGCTCATGGAGATCAGGATTTGGCCAATTTAAACTAGAAAATCAAAGTAAAACTTTGTTTCCACTCATTGCTCCAATGGTAGCACATCCATGTAGGAAAAGAGTCCAAAAGGAAACTCCAGCAAATGGGCTGTGTCTACTTAGGGGGTTAGAATCTTTAAAGCACTGCCCAACAGAGCTGGACACGGAGAACTATGGCAGGCCTGTGTTGTAACCACTGCTCTCACTCATATTTAAAGCATCACTGATGTCAAGAAACGAGTGAGCCGTCGCCTTCAGCCTGATCCATAGCAGTGTATGGGCCATGGATCTGTCTGAGTTGTGCACGAAAAGTTAGAGCATCAAAGGGCATTTTGGCAGAGTTGAGACCATGCTGATATCTATTTTTCTGCCCGGAGCTCTGTGGGCAGCAGCAAGGAGGAAGGACAAAAGTGTGAAGTTTGGTGGCGAACCCACCTGAACGGATGAAATTTCACAAGGGAGAAAGTAGTAACTTTCTGTTCAGTTCTGCTTTCCTGGGACCTGTTCAGGCCCCTGCCCAGCAAGGAGGGAGCCTCTTATGCTGGTTGATCAGCAGGGTTCTTAGGTGGCCGTGTCTGGACGATGGGGGGAATGATTGGTGCCTGGCCTGGCTGTGCGAGATTCTGAAGCAAGCAATGCTCCTTAGTGGACGGGATCGGGTGCCCTCCTCTGAGCTCTACCTGCGCCCCAGGGAACGTTCCTAAAATCCAGTTAAAAAAGCTTGCCAGACAGCCCTGGAGGCTAGCTCTGAAAGGAGGAGAAACAGGTAGTGCGTGAGGGCCAAGGCGAGGCCGAGAGTCAAGCACAATTTGCAGGCTACGGAAGGCACGCTGTCAATAGCTGTCTGTTAACGGACTCCCCTCTCTCTCTTAGGCTCAGCTTGAACACTAGAGAGGTGGATGTGCTGATTTACTAGCGCTGACCAAATGACTGTAAAGATAAACCGATTCCTTTTCGCCAGGTTCTCCTTGCTCCTTTCCCATTTGCTACCCAGTAAATCATTACTCAAGAATGGTGACTCAGTCCATGATAAACAGGGTCATTAAGCATGTAGTCTAGAATAGTGGGACCTGGCTGCAGATGGTGGCCAAGACACTGATCTTCTTTTCCTGTGTTCAAACTGGAGCAGAATGTCAGCATCCACAGCGCCTCTCTCAGGCATTGTTTCACACCCACAGACCTTTGCCCCCACCTCTGCACCCGTCGCTAATTGTGGCCATGTCTATTTAATGAGCTGAGTTGTGGGTGCTACAGTTAGCTAGGAAACTAGCTTCAAATATTTGTGCCTGAACAAATGGAAGCCAACCCTGGAATTCTCTCCTTATCGGCTAATGGGAGCCTTTGCAACTGTTGGGCGGGAGGTTGATCGTTTGTCAGGGGGCTGAGGTAAAAGCTCAGCTGAGGCAGATTTCCAACAGCGACTAGAGGAGTCTCTCTGCTGTCCCAGGCAGGAGAGAGCAGCTGGGTCCTACACATGACCTGCTAATGGAAACAGCTGCCTTTATGCCAAATGCCTAGAGAAGGAGGAGAAGACTCTTTCTGCGCATCTCCCGCCACCCAGCTGCTCAATAGAAAGGGGAGCTGTGAGCGATGTTGGAATAGTTTGTACCATCTTCCTACAGGTGAGTACCTGCTCATGCTCTGAACTCTTTATCAGGGCTCTTAGTCATTCGATGGGGCGTGCAGCCCCGAGAAGGAACAGGCTATGCTACCCTACTCGAGGGTACATGTTCTTTGGATGGTACTTTTTTATACTGCTCCTGGCATTTCATGGGGAAAGCCCTGATGTCCTCCGCCTTCATCACTAGTGCATGGTAGGTGACTTTCTGACCTACACCTGCTTGCTTCCCTTTTCCTCCATCTTCCCTTCCCCTCTATGGTGGCTTTCCAGGACACCTCTCTCCATCCTGCAACACCCATGGCCAGTAAGCACAAACATCGGAGAGATTCCTGGTACATAAAGGGAAGGAGTGACTTATAAGCCTGTCATGGTAATGTCTCCCCTAGAGATCTCCCTGCAGTTACCAGTGGGCATGGGATATAGAAGCATCTGAGCAGCAGGTGGTGATGTTATCCTGTTTGTGCAGCGTAACTGCTGCACCCAAGGGAGGCTAGAAAGAGACAGGCTTCCACCATTAACTCGGACTCCTCTTGCTTTGGGTTTAAATCAGCTCCTTCTAAGGCTACACTGAAGTTGAGAGAGTCCTAGAATCCCCCAGCTCCATTTCAGCCTCCCCATACCCTCACTGTCTTCTGCCAGGGAGGCAAAGGTCTGAGCCCCTCGGATGGATGGTGCTGTAGCCGTGCAAACACCATGATGGTAATAACAACAGGCTACAACCTTACCTGTGGTCTGGATTGTCATCGGTTTAGTGCAATGCTTGCTATGCCCTCTGGGACAGTAACAATGGGATCTGCACATCAGTGGGGCTCATTCCCCCAGGGCTGCTGTACATCCTGACATTAAAAGGGTACTGACCTGGGCATCAATAATCTTCTGTTTGGAATCCACTGCCGCCTGCATTTCTGCATGATCTTTCTTTAATTCCTCCTCGACCGACATCAATCTGGCAAGAGAACCCAGAAGCAAACGTTTAGCTTCCGAGAAGCAGAGAGTCTAGCTGCTGTTATTAAACAGTGCATTCTGCTGCTGCAAGGAGCTCGCCTGGGAGACCAAAATCTCCTCTCTGTGCCCAGAACAAGTAGAGCATAGGCAGCAGCGGTAACCTCTTCCCTCCCGCTGCCAGCCTGCCCTGGCCCTGCCTGGAAGGACAGACTGGCCCGTTCCAGCTCCTTGGCTGCTCTTGCTGAGGCTGCCGGCTGCGTAGTGGGTTTTGTGATAGGGACACCTGTCTATTAGAAACTATGCTCAGACCCACCAATGCCCAGCACCCAGCCAGCAGCCGGGAATGACTCTGGCTTACCCCTGGCCATTGCAGGTTCGCTGTGAGTGCTGGCCTGAAGCAGAAAGGCATCAGGCACCCTGTTAGAAAGCCATGGAGCCCGCCAGGCCAGCACTAGTTAAAGTGCAGTGCTAGTTCCCCTGCTCGTCCTTCATCCCTTTCATGCTCATTTCAGTTCTTCAACTTGCAGAGTGGGTCAGCCCTGCACAGCTGTCAGCTCTCTGGTGACCTAGGAGGCTGCCCTAGCAGGGGGGTGAGATTGCTCTGATCACCTGTTTGTGGGATCCAACACCCTGAAAGGCAGTGCCCCTCTGCAGAGAGCATCCAGGTGCAGGAGTCCATTAATTACACGTGCTAGGATCTATACCGGCTCTGTCACCTGCAGCCATCACGCCATTAGTCTGCTAGACTTTTAAATCAGTCTCCTGGGATGGATGATACAGACTATTTCTTCCCTTACTCCTTGACAGCAGAGGAGGCAAAGGGTTGATTTACATCTCGAAAGCTCAGAGCAAGGGGTGAAACAGCAGGCCAAACCAATGGGAAGCTCTCACATCGTATCCCCGCCTTCAGGGAGCACAAAAACCGGTTTTTTCACGTGACATTGCCGGCATTCGCACACACAGCATCCCACTTTCAGAGAACATGGAATTTCTGCAGTTAAGATCAGAATAGGGCTGGGGCTGTGGAAAATGGCTGGCCCTGAGAGGCTTATTGGTTAAAAAACAAACCAACCAAAACTCTCTACTCCAATCGTTCAAAACCCTGCTGTTTGCTGTCTGACTGTTAAACTACTCTAGACATGAGCAAGCAAAGGATGAGGTGGGAAGGGAGGGAGCTTTAGAGCAGCTGATTTAGGAGAGCAGCTTAAAAGAAAGGAACGGGTCTAGCTTGGCTAAAGACGATGACATTGGGCCATAACAACCTATATGTATGTAAACACCATGGAGGCAGAGGGTTACTTGGGATGCCAGCTCGGAGTAATGAGATGGAGAGGAACACTCAGACCTTCCTGACAGTGAGAGATGTCTGCTGGAGACATAATCTCCAAAGGGGAGAGGCAGAAGCCCCATTGCTTTGGGTATAGAAAACAGGACAAAATAATATACTGAAAGGAAAAATCCTACCCTGAGCCCAGAGAGCTGGGCTGGGTTCAGAGGTCTCAACCATCTCTGAATTCTACCATTCCATGAACCAAGCAAATCTATGGATTCCGTCACCCCGAGCTTTAACAGAGACAGGTGCCCCTCCAAAGGGGCAGAGGGTCGCTGGAGTGAAATAGCTGACGTTTGCAAACCTGAGGTTGGAAAGAACATGGGAGCGGGTGAGGGCCCCTCCATTTCCAGCTGGATCCCAGGAAATGAAAAACAGTGAAAAGCTAAAAGTTGCCCACACTTGCCTGCACCTCAGAAGAAGTTTGATTCTCTTGTAGCTTGGGGTCAGTGCTGATTTCAGAACTACTTCCCTCCCCCAGCCCAAGAAACACAGATTGACTGAAAATGTAGTGCTTTGGTGACTGTGTATTTTGCATACAACAGTGTAACGCCACCAACGCCCATGGGTTATGCTAAGGGTTAATCTGGCCCAGCGTCTGAAGTGCTTCAGAGCTGACAGTGCTATGTAAATACCAAAGTATTTTTACAGCCCTGCACCAGGAGCTACATTCAGATAGCCCAAGCCCCTGGAAGCTTAGAGAGTTTTGATTCAGCCCATTACTGAGAAAGGAGCTAGCTAGAAATTTCACACCTGGTTCCAGGTTTAGCCTGTAAACCCACAACCTGCTCTGAATTTGAAGGTTTCCTGGATCCATAGATTCTAAGGCCAGAAGTGACCATTGTGATCACCTCGTCAGACACAGGCCATAGAACATCCCCCAATACTTCCTAGAGCAGATCTATTAGAAAACCAGCCAATCCTGATTTAGAGTGTCACCGATGGAGAACCCACCATGACCCCGGCAGACTTGTTCCAATAGGCAATTACTTCACAGGGTCTTATTTCCAGTCTAAAAGAAGGCACAAATTTCCAGGTGGCTGGATCCATCCCGGATTCACACCCTTCACTACTGGGCACAGGGCCAGTTGTTCATCTTTGGATATTAAAGGCCTTGGGCACTGCACCACTCCTGCACGTGAGATGGGACTATAGAATGAGAGGTTTCAGGGCACCATTTCCAGGATATCCTATTGCCAGGCTTGGATGTGGCCATTTTGAGCGTGTAACAAATAGTTTTAGACAGCACTGTCCGTCCTAAAGCACTCTGCAATCTACAGCTAGAGACGCCAGTCCCGCTACGACTAGGGCGACAGAGGGCAGCAGACAGTGGTCCACAGTGTACTGCACACCAGTGCCAGGAGAGGAATTATAGCAAAGAACGTTTAGCAGGGACTGTCGTGTTGTTGTGTGCCTGGCAGCACCTAGCACAATGGAGTTCTGCTCCATCACAGGGGCTCCTAGTTGCTACAAACAGTAATTATGCTCTACTCTTACAATCCCCCACCCCTATAATCTTGACTGTTCACACAGATTGAACATATTCACTATGGGGTAGGCCTTCCTCTAAAGGCTCATCAATAGAGGATAACAACCTACTGTTGCAACCAGCTAACAGAAGGTTATTCCTTGCTTAAGAGGTAGAGCGCTGTGCTGAAGACTTGTGATGAACCTTGTTTGTAAGATTTCATTTGAGACACCCACACAATGACCTGCCTCCATTTCGTTACCTCAGAAGAGTTAAACTGGCCCTCATGGGTTCCAGGAAAGCTTGCTGCTCCCCTTCAGCTGAGCTACAGCATCCTGCTTGCTTACAGCTAATGCGGGGTGGGGCTAGAGTTAAAACACAATGAGGTACTAGTGGCTGCCTATTGCTTTAATGTGTAGTTTCTATCACAACTAAATGTATCCATTTTATTAACAATGACATAAACCAGCTTCTGTTCCAGACTCATTGTTTCCTTTATTAACACAATCCCTAATTATTTTTGGGGGGTGAAGGGGAGCTAAAGCTCCCAGGCTCCCAGTTGTCTACATGCAGCTACCTCCTTGCTACTATCATTTAGATGTTGGGGTTTTGCTCTCTCTCTCCGTCCCCCACCATACCTGCTGATGATCCCCTTCATCTGGATCTCTTTATCTTCCTGCTGTCTGCGGAGCCGCTCCTCGCTCTCCTCCAGCCTGGCCTGGTACTCCAGCATCAGTTTCTGGGTTGTCTCCTCCTGGCATTTGAACCTGTTTTCATACTCCTCCAGCTTCTTGTTGGAGATGCGGAGCTTGTCCTGCAGCACCACCAGGTCCTGCTGGTACTGCAGCATTTAATGAGAAAGCACAAGGCATTTTTATTGCTAGGGCTTTTCCCTCACCAAGACTCCAGTAACCCAGCCATGACCGTCTCCTCGCATTAGACTAGCTGCAAACCCGCATAGGAGCAACCCTGAATAGCTGCTCAAAACCTTCTCCTCTTCCATCTTCTCCTCCAGACTGCACGAGGAGTGGGGCTGCCCTTCTGCTGGGATGACAGGTTTACTAGCAGGTGCAGAGAATGGTTGGTTAGCATAGTTTGGAACTTAAAATGAGGATGCAAGTTAGCTCGACTGACTGGCAAATGTATGTGGGCAGCTGCTCAAGATGAACAGCAGTACAGGGTTAGACACAGCCAGGTGAGGCAGCACTGGTGGGGTTCTGGCTTCAGGCATCTGCTCGTCAGGTCTGTGTAAATCAAGGGGTGGCACTGTGAATTCTGCATATGCTTGCATCTGAATCCAGTCAGTTGGCATTCTAGGAAAAGCTGCCTTCCTACGGGTTCATACGGCCCGAGTTTAGGGACAACATTTGAGACCTGACTGTCTGGAAGTGAAAGCCTTGCAGGCCAAGCAACAGCTCATTCAGAGCGATCCCTGCCTGACTGGGCACTGGGGCAGCTACAGCCTTGGAGCTCACAGCCCCTGTAGTCAAAGGACAGTGAAAATGCTCATCAAGGAGCCACTCTTCCAAGCCTAGGGCCAAACCCAGCATGAATCCGGCACCGATCCCACTAAATCCAGGCCACGCTACAGGAGCAGGGGCTGGGCTGGGTTTTGGTGGGATGTGCTTAGTTCCGGAATGTGTTACATTTTGTTACCCTGCTGGGTTTTCTGCACAGATGCACCCAGCTTGGAGACCTTTTCAAAAGGAGCGAACCCAGCTCTGGGGGGCTACGTGGAGCTGAAGCTATGGCAGGCATCACCATTAAACACAGCTGGACCCCAGGGTGACCGAGAACAGCGGAGACCACGCGGATCACATGAGCTCAGCGAGTAGCACTTTCGATGCTGAATGGTTATTTGCTTTTTTAAAGGAAGCGTCGAAGCGTTGTAATGAAAGATGCTGGTCTGGCCACCCTGGAGACTGAAGGTCTCAGCACAGACAGTGCCAATGCAAGATTCATCACACTGGCCTCCGCCAAAGCACCTCTCTGCAGCCAATTCAATCATCCTCCATGGAGACTGCCCCCGTTGCCAGCCGCTGTCGGGGTAGGTCTTGGGAGGCTGATACCTGTCCGCTGCGGCCATCAAACTCAGCGCACATGGGCCATCACGCAGCCAGCAAATGATAACCACATTTGGTCACATACCATGGGAGTTACTCTAATTGGGCCCAAACACTCCTATGGGATTTGCTCTAATAAACAACCATCAGATGCCCCCACAGGGCACGGATGCCCCATTGTCTATGGCCAAGCTTTTATTAATGTGCATTTTCCCTAGGAAGCTGGTGCTTCTGAAGCCAAACACATGGCTTAGAGCCAACTCCCACTGAAGTCAGTGGGAGTTGGACTGAGCTCGGAGCAAGGGCTCGCACTGGGCACGACTGATCGGAGACGGTCAGTTGTACACCAGTGCAGTTTTAGATGATCAGTGCAGAAAACTGACTTTCGCTTAACCCACAGGGTCAGAATTTCAACCCAGGGCTCAATGGGAGAGGAGGTAGTGCATGAAGCCAAGACTCCACCTACTGTGCTTTTCATGTAAAAAAAAACTCTGAAAAGTTTTTGGTAAAATAAAAGTAAATAGTGGCAAGACTCACAGGAAACAAATGAACAAGTTCAAAACACGGGGGATTTTTTTTACTCAGTAACATTGGATTGAGCTGTGGTAGCTCAGCATTTGGTACAATTTACTGAGACAAAGGGAAACTCCAGTGTACAAATGTGCAACAGAGAAGAGATTTTTACTTTGCAAGGAGTGACTTTTCTCAATTGCTTAAAAGTGCCCTCGCTCTAACAAATTACCAATGATTAATAAGCAAACAGGAACCTGCCATTTTGATGAGCTGTTAAAGGAGTTTGAGACATTGTAAATACCTGACTAAACGCAGACGACTTTCAAATCTGAGCTAAGGCAACTTATCGAGTATATTACTGGTTACAATAAATGAAGAGGGCTCTGGTTGCTTTTGCTATTGATTTAGTAAATAGTGGCTACATAGCTGGTAATGTAACCTTTTGGTTTTAACCCTAAATGAACAGAAGGTACTCGACACCAGCTCTGCACGTCTCCTGCCTCTGCTGAGCACTCAAACGGCAGGCTGCATTTGTGTTCCAATGTACGCCCTCACACAGGGCCTCCTTCCGGGGACCATTAGTAGAATGGCAGCTCTCTCGGAGTGGGAGACGCGAGCCCCATTCACTGATTGGAGATGGCAAGGGCCAGATTCTAGCTGTGTCAATCAGTGCAGCTCCAGTGATGGCAAATTGCTACAGTCATTTCCATTGGCTGAGAAGCGACTACAACCGCGACCCACACAGCTAGGAATTCATGATGCTGAATAATTTTGTGAGCAGCTGGAGTATTCGAATGATGGCAGGCAGAGATGGGAAAGCCCTAGTAGATCCTTCGGCCACGGCAGAAGACAGCTGTGACAAATCACTGTGGTTTTCCTTTAATCAGGTTTTTACAGAGTCCCTGAGACAACACAGTTCACGCACACCACCTGGTGAAGAGGGGGAGACACCAGCGCCCAGACAGTGCACAGAGTGGAGTCACTCAGACACGGAGAGATTCCATACCTACCCTACACTTAAAATAGGAGCAGCGTAAGGGAGCTCCAGGGATAGCAGGAGAAGCCTCAGGAGAGCGTGGGAGTCGCTCCTGTCTCTAGAACACTTGTCTCATTGTTGGTTACCATTCAAGTCTTACAGTAATGGGGAGAGAGATTATGCTAATGAAGAACTTTAATGCCAGTGACTGATATGACAACAAAGTAACAAAGGATGCTGCATGGGAATGAGACACCAGGCTCCGGTGGGGTTTGCGTTTTGATATTTTGGCAGGGAGCAGGATTTATTGAAATACCGTCAGACCTCGTAATCCTGACGTGGTCTGTCTCTACCCAGGCGGAGTACATACTGGAGGAGAGCCTGCAGCATCCTGTCCCTCCCTCAGCCTGTGGGTGAAAACATGGTGGAGATCTCTCTGGCAGGGCAGAAAGCCAGTGCCAGAAGCTGCAGAGAGTGGAATTCACTTGAGAGGCCATCTGTTAAAAGATGAGCCAAGGTTGCCACAGAGTCGGTTTGGTGAGAAGGAGTTTAGTGACTACCAGTGGGGAAGTGGCACACGGAGTCTGCTAACTGGGGTACCTTCTGCCTTGTCAGAGTAGTTTGCAGGTGTAAATTAGAGCATAAGCCTTCCAAGTGGTTCCTCACTCACGTTACTCTGCTGCCCAGCTCTCTTGCAGCAACTACACCAGCCATGCTGATCTCCCGTGCTCCATGCTACACCCCAGTGAGCACCGGTTTCACTGGTGACCACTTTTGAGACCCCTGCTGGACTCTGTGCTAATTACACGGATTCTACTCTACTCTCATTTAGCAGTCGAGATTTTTATAGCCTAAAAATGAAGGCAGCTAGCTGGCTGACCTTTCCCCACACCAGATGCTTTCCTCCGCCCATTTCTTTTCATGTTATAAAGATGCCAAAATGGGGGAAAATCCATTAATAAACTGGGGTAAACTCTTAAAAACTACCCAGGGACTTTTTTCTTTTATTTGAAAGGTGGGAGATTTCTCCTTGTGCGTCTCAGTCCCTGCCTGACAAAGGCTTTGGCACGTCACTCAAGTTTAACAGATGACAGCCCAGAGAATGGTGCAGCACCAGAGAAATTAGACAGAGAAAGTCAGTGTTACAAAACTAGAAACGTCCCTGTCCCTCAGAACAATACACGGAGGACTAGCGCTCCAAGTTTCAGGTGATAATGAATGGCTAATGGGAGGAAGAATTACAGTTTGTGAGCTCCACTACCAAAGTGCCTCCAATGTCTGGCTGCTGGGAGAGCTTCTTGCAAATTAAAAAGAAAAAGATCCCCCCCCTTCCCCAGTGTATGTGATTTGCACTCTGACTGGTCTTGTTGTGCTGGGCATGAAGCTGCTGGTGTCACCAACGGGCTAACCCGTCACAGACAAAAGTGATGTAATCCTGGTCAGATATGACATAAGCTCTTTGCTTTTCCCTAGTGCCTGATGAAACCTTCCCCTAGTGATCTGGTTTGAGTTGCAGTATCTTCCGCAAACTCTGACTGTAACATCTTGATTTCTAGCTCCACTCGCTCACCAGGCACGCTGGTCTCCTCCTCAGACTGGGCTGGGAGCTGGGGAACCCAGCCAATCCATCACTCTTCCTACAGCGAGGGCCGAGTAGTGCGGAGCAAATAATGGACTTAGTGGCCGAATGGAAAAAGCTGAAAAAATCTGGTTCATTTCAAACCAAAACTGAATCTTTTTGGGTGGTTTTTCTTGCCGAAACAAAAAAAAATCCACAACCCAAATGTTCATTCGAGTCACACAAAATGTTTCAAATGGCGATTCAACTCGATGTTTCATTTGGAGAAGATTGCTGTGAAATGAGAGAGACACAAGGTGGGGGAGGGAATATCTTTTATTGGACCAACTTCGGGGAGGGAGGGGGAAGAAACGTTCAAGCTTACACAGAGCTCTTCCTCTTCTTGATCTGAAGCAGAGCTCTGTGAAGCTCCAAAGCTTCTCTCTCACCAACAGAAGTTGGTCTGATAAAAGAGATTCACCTACCTTGTCTCTCTAATATCCTGGGACCAACATGCCTCCACCAACGCTGCTTACAACCGTTTTGAAATGAAACCTCCAGAGAGTTTGTTTAGAAAACGTCAAGGCAAAACATTTTGACACTTGATTTTGTTTTTGGATATTCCTGACATCTCACCTGAAATTCACCAATAGCTTCAGTGCCTGGAAAAAACGCATTTTGTGGTGAATTTACTATTTGCTGAACATATTCTGTGCAACTCTAATGCGGAGCTACTCCCTGGCGTGGGGTGCTGAGATTTCACACAGCAGCTAGAGGCTGCACCTGCCCTGGGAGCCGGAGGTGCGAGTCCCAGCACGCGTGGACATTCCTGGGCTCGGTCTCCCCGAGCCAGCGCGCCACCGACCACGGCGTAGCGGTGGTAGCAGAGGCAGCAGCGGGTGGCGGCAGGGGCTCGTCGCTCTGAACACACCCCCATGGGTACCCGGCAGATCTGCGCTCAGGACCGCTCGCCTGTGCTGCCACTTGCCGCCACCCACTTGCCTACTGTGGCTACACTCCTGTCGGCGTGCTAGCCCGATGAGCACGAGCACGTACGCCCACTCAAGCTGGGCATCACCCCCCGAGCACAAGACACAGCCTTTGAGACGTTCTTGGAGCGCGACGGGTCTCTGGTCTTGGTTACATGGCCTCAACCGGCAGCAACCTCCTTCCAGCCAATGGAGTCACGCCAGCCTAACACTCCTGTAACTGGGATCAGAACCTGGCCCCTCTCCTTGGAATGTGCTAATGGCTTTTGTAAGCCTGAATGCTGGAGCTCATCTTGCCCCACCTCCCCTGAGCAAGCCAGGAGAGCTGCCTGCTACTTCCTGCCTTGTTCATTTCGTTCCATTCTTTAGTTCACTTGGTAAGCCCTGTTCTCTGCAGTGGGGGAGCAGGGGCACTGACATGCACTGCTTATGCTGGCTCTGCTGTGCCCTGATGCTCTAGCTTCTCATACTTGCTCCTGTCCCCTCTGTTCCTCTCTTGCCCTGAGAAGAGGGACAACCCAGTTCGTGAAGCCTGAGCAGGATCCCCAGCATTCTGCCCCTGACGTGCGGCAGGGGAACAGTGGGGTTTCTCCCAGGGCTGCTGAGTCCCCTGGAGACCCCGCCTCACCCCGTGCAGCTCAGTTAAATGACGTTTAAGGAAACTCTCTCTAGTTAGACACTTGTTTCAATCCAGTCAGGTTTTACCTTTTCTGCTTGGCTGAGCTCGTCCTTATTCCTGAGCTTATCCCTGTGCTTGGAATCTGGGTCAATGCTTTCATCTTCTAAAAAGTGCATGTTCATATTCAAAAGCCATGCGGCAGTGCGGTCCAGGGCATTGGGGTTCACAGGAGAAGGGGCCTACAATGAAACATACAACCATAACAAAAGAAAAATCGGTAACAAAAATGGATGTGAAGCTAGAGAGCAAGAGAGTTTCCTTCCAACCAAGCCCAAGGCCCCAGTACTGCTCCGATGGAAAGGAATGGATTAGAGTGCCCGAAGGGGTCTGGGAGAGAGCAAGGACACTGCCTGTTAATGCACCTTATTTATTTGAGCTTATTAATGTCAGCTTGCCTTTATAGGCCCAATTCTGCCGCCCTACAAATCCACTGCTGTTAATTGGGCTTCAAAGGGATCTGCTCAAGATCAAGAGGCCCTAGTTCCTGGGCAGCTCTTGCTATTGTCTCATGCCACGAGGCCTGTCAGGGTTCATGCTGCAGGCAGACAGGTTGTGTCTGCTCAGCCTCTGGGTAGAGCTGTTGCTTAACTCTTGAGCTCCTCCTCCATTGAGATGCCTCTTCACCTGCTGCGGAGATTTCACTACAGCCACAAACAGATTTACAAAGTGAAATGCGATTTTTGATCACACTGATCACACTGGGGCCTCCTGAAAAATCTACGGTTCTTCAAAGGCAGGTAGTCACATGAGGAACCCTACAACAACAAACCTTGGGGCTCTGCGTTTCTTAATGCTACAGTGGCTCAGAGAATGGGATTCTTGTAAGTTTCCTTTCGAGGAGAATGCTCTCTAGCCATCTGCACTACAGAAATGCTACTGTAAGCAGTACTCTACCATCAGCAAGTTAAAGACACCTGCCCACCTATTGCCCTGGGCAGTGTCTCTGTAAACCCAAAGGCAAACAAAATTGGCTAGAGATTTTCCAACCACATTATAAACTCCAGGAAGTGGATTTCCAGCTATTTTTCCTCCATCAGAGCTGGCTACAAATTGCAGTCAATGATGTCTCAGGCTGAACGTTGTGGGTTAGAGTGAATGTGCCAAGATGATCCAGGCTGAAAACCCAGACATGTCAGAGAATTGTTCACACCTCCAGCTCCCTCGTCCTTTTAGTCAATCACCAGCAGTATCAGCATGAGAGCAGATCCCTCGCTCTGAGCTGGAAAGCCCTGGATGGAGAATTCTTCATAGGAGCATTTGGGGAAAGTCCTCCCAGCTCAAGTCAGATGATTCCATGATGGCTCAGTGGGAATGGAAACAATTACACTGATGTTACTACCCCTCCCTCTCCTGCCCCTCCAAGTAAATCTTGCCCTCTGGATCTCAGACTTTGAACCTGAAGTTTCAGACTCAGCTCTTGGATTATCTCCCTGCTATAGATGGGCCCTTAGCTTCCTGCCTTTTGGGGCGCCTCTGGACTGGGAATTGTGACCATGGCAGGAGCAAAGAATGCAGGTCTCTCAAAAGTGCGTGGCCACAAGAGGTGGAGGAAATTGTCCCTATTGTTCCTTTCAGCCCTGTAGAAGATGTTTGGGGTTTTCCAGCCCCGTGAGTGCTGACAAAATAGGGGTCAGCCCTGCATGAATGGTGCCTCCTCCCTCTCTGGGCTTCTTCCTCTGAACATGACCGAAAACCCCGAGCTAAGTGGATTCAAAATTGGATCCACCATGTGAAATAAAATGAGGAAAGAGGCGGTCGGAAGCTCTTCCAATCAGCAGCAGTAAGGGACTCGGGAATCCAAATGACACGGCCACTGAATGGGATGTATTTCCTCTCAAACAGCACTAAGCCCCGTTGAGTGGGATCAAGCAGTTTCATTATGATTGGCATGGACTGTTACTATACCACTCGGATACACAGATAAAGAGGCAGGAGCGGCGTGGCAGGGACTCCTGCTCCCCCGAGGAGAACCTTTTGCGGGGACAAGGAGTGTGAACACAAATTGGCCAGAGCTCTGTGAAGGGTCATCACACATTCATTCCACTCAGCATAACAACTCTGGAGCAGCCCCCATTCCCGAACAGGCCCCCAAGTACTTTGCCAACCTCTCTGCCTTCCCCACATAATGAGTATCGATCCTTATTATATAAATGCTGCTATATGCCCAGCTTGCTAATGCCTACGCCGACAGACAGCTCCGCTGTCCACAGCTGATTGACAAAATGTCTTTTAATGGCCAGCGCTGGTAAAGGGCTCTGTAGAGTCCTTGAAAAAGAAGAGTAATTGTGCACACCTGTCTGTCTCTTGCTTTCAAGTGGGCTGCCTCCGGGGAGCTGTTCCACTGTTTCTGGATTGAGATGGAGGGGATAGTCGTTAGCTAGCCACATCTTTTTTCGGGGTGTTTTTTTGTTTTTTTTTAAAGAAATCTTCATTTGAAGTATCATAAATCCTCGGTGTGTTTCTTTCCCTATGGGATTAGTTCTGAGAAAAAAAAATAAGTGCTAGGAAAACTATTTCCACGTGCCAGCCAAACGGGATATGTCTCAGGCATGGGGACAAAGCAGAGTGACCTGCTACTTTTATTATCAGGGCTACATGCAGTGAAATTCACCCCCAGGCAAAGGTGGACTTCAGCTGGCGCACAGTCTTTGTGCACAGGAGGGAATTTCAGTGTTGCTGATTTTGCTGGAATGACGGCTCTTTCCCCTTTTTTCCACCCCTCCCTTTGCTTCCCCTCCCCAAAAATGCATCCATGGGAGATTCTAAAAGGCAAAACTAACAGGATTGGGAGTGTCCAGTCGCACCACGTCCCCAGCGAAACAGCAGCAGGACGGAACCTCTTCCTGAGCGGAGATCAGGTCCTGATCCGAGTCTGTGAGATGGAACTTGACTGACTGTGGCATGGGATGAGCAGTTGGCACGTGCAGGCAAAGCAGTGAGAGGATGGTGGAGCGGAATGGAGGAGAGGCTCTAACCCCATCGCCGCCTGCAGCCCCGAGGCAGTCGCACTCTAGCAGAGGAAACGGACGCAGCAAACTCCGAGAGCAAAAATGTAAACATCACCTTTTCAGGATGGGCTCTGTCTCAGGCCAGGCTTCGGGCAGGAGCCAACGCATGGCCCCCCACATGGGCCAGTGCGGCCTTGCACTGACTCAGCGGTTTGGAGCCAGCCCCACCTCCCCATTCTGCTGCCAGACTGGAAGGGGAGGAAAGTCATGGCCTAATCTCCCAATTCCCTCCAACCATTTGGGGCCTGATCCCCACCCACATCCCTTCCACCCACAAGGCCAGCTTCGCTCGGCATGACCTCCTGGCACTAACCTGTTTCTGCATGGTGCGCGGCTTCATCTCTGGACTGTCGCCCTTAGAGGAGGAGGACTGCTGCCGGAGGCGGGCCCCGCTGCCCGGCCAGTCGGGTGAGGAGGACATCATGCTCCCGCTGGAAGGTCTCTGGTACTGAACTGTGTTCAGCAGCGAGGGCGGCGTCCTGCCCCTGGTGACCGGCGGCGGGGGAGGTGGCGGTTGGTCTATCCGCCTCTGGGGGCCGGCGCTGTTCTGCCGGGGCATGGCGGGCTGGCCACCTTTTTCTGTCAGAGAGAGCTGCCGGCGGGCCAGCTCCCCCGTCCGCCGGGTGAAGTCCTCGCTCCCAGCAGGGTTGACGAAGCCATGCTTGTTGGCCGTCAGCTCTTCGCTGTTGCTGTGGGAGCTTAGGGAGCTGTGGCACTCAGAGCCAGAGTCCCCCAAGCCCCGGGGGGACAGCGGGAGCCCGGCCGCCATCTGGTACACCGGGTTCTGGAATGATAAAGGTGCTAAAAGCTGGGGCCTGCCAGGCGCGCTCTCAGAATTGGGCGTGGTGGGGGTCTGGCCTAGCCTGCGCACCGTGGCCATGCCAGTCACGTTGTTCTGCTGAGTTCGTGCGGTCCATATGCCCTGTAACTGCCCGACAGACGACTGACTGTCATTGAGGGAATCCGCGGCCCCAGGTGCATTTGCCCCACTGTCCAAAATCCGATTGTCCTGCAAGTCCACCATGGACAAACTCTTGCTGCCATTGGACATCTGCACATCAGGCTCATTGGCCTCCGAGTAGCTGGAGCTTCGGGCGGGCGAGGGCTGAGCCCCAGCAGACCTTGTGACAAAAAACAAGTCCTTGTTTTCAGGGGTCGGAGACGGTAACCGTGTGAAATCTATCAGACTGCGGGGACATAAACGCATAAAGGGAGGGGAGAGGAGAAGAAGAAAGAAGAGCTGTGAATGCTACACTGCAGCAGGCAAAAGTAATCAGCAAAATGAAACTAGCAGGAAAATCAATATAGCCCAGCAGTGTACAGCTAAGCAAACAAGCCAACCCCCCAGGACGCATGTGAGGGGGGTGCAAAACTCGGTCACAGTACTGCTCCCCTGGGAAGAATGGATTAGGGCTAGAGCTGGGCAGAAAATAGAGATTCTGTGCTGGGAAACATTGAGAGATTAAAAGCGGTCCAGACTGACGGCAAAAAGCCAAAATTTAATGGAAAAAAATTGGTGCAATGTTTCCTTTCAATTTTTTGATTTTGACTTCTTTTAAATTATCATGTAATTTACATTTCAAAATGAAAAGTTGTTAAGAACGGACAAACAGGAACTTTTCATTTTGAAAATGTCAAAACAGGATGTTTTACTAATTTCAAAACTTGTTTTTTCTGAAAACATTTCGAGCCAGGAAATCTGTTGACATTGGCCTTTTCCTGCCAAACATGTTTGGTTTCAACAAATCAGCATTTTCTGATGAAAGAATGTTTAGTGGAAAAATTCATGGCCAGCTCTCATCAGATCCTCTCTGTCAAGAAGAGGCAGTGAGGTTGGATTTGTCAGTGCACTGCGCGTGTGTGTGTGTAAGCGTGTGAATGCACAGACACACATGTACATGAGGGAGGGGTGTGGGGTTGGGGATGGATGGGTGTTAGTTGTGTATGAGCAAATGAGAGTGTCTGCGTGGGCATGTTGTATGTGGGAGTGGCTGAGAGGTCTGGGAAGATGGGTCTACTTGTGTGAGTGAGAGGCATCGTCCCGATGTGATCCTTGGATGCTTTGTATCACCAGTTACAACCATGCTGACCAATACTGTCTCATTGTTTCCTTGTGCTCCCCTGTCTGTCTGCATCTGTCTGCTGTCTCTTGTCTTATCCTGAGATTGTAAACTCTTTGCACAAGGATCATCTTTTGGTTCTGTTTGTACAGCGCATAGCACAGTGGGGTCCTAGGCACTAGGATAATACAAATAAAAAAACCCAGCAATAATGACGATAATAACTAGCACCAACGTTGACTGCTGCTTTCCAAGGAAAGGCAGAGGCCTCGTCACCCATTCCTCCTACAGTAAACTGACAGAGTTGTGCACCATTGATTTGCGGTGGATAGGGCAAGGGCTTTGCAGTAGTTTCATGTGAATATGTCAGATCAAAGATGCTGCATTTACATTTACGTAGGAAGTATTTGGGCCAGAGTATTTTGTTCAGAGAAATTCTCCCTGGCACAAAATGTGAAGAGCTTTACCCCATGCAGGGAAACATTAGAGATGAAAGCTCTGATTACAGAGCAAGTCCGGCTTCCTCTTGCTGGGTCCCTCACTCCTAATTAGATTGTTCAATAATTTCTAGCTCCCATTTAGAACCTATTTTACTAGTGGAGGCTTTTCATTTGTGTGAGTTCCTGCATCTTCAGCAAATAGGAATAAAACTAGCATTATAACTCTGCAACACGATCCGCTGTTCGACCACCGGGACCGAAATTCCTCAATGAGAAAGCCAAGAAGAGTGTGTTCAGGGACTGGGCCTGTGGGCTATTGCTCAGTGGTTTTACATATATAATAAAAATTAGGCAGAGCAGGCTGAAAACCCCAATAAGCAAACTACCAAAGGGTGAGTGACTGTTAGGGAAACAACCAGTGATTTGGATCTAAATGTACTCAGCTCCGATGCAGTGCTTTACAAGCAGGATGGGCCCAATCCTGCCTGATTGCCATGTATAGAATTCCCACTGAATTTATTGATAAATCCTCCCGTCCTGTTGCACTTGCACGTGTGCGTGTGTGCACACACACACGCACACAGAGTTTTCGGATTGGGCCTTCTCCCATCCTCACACTCACGGGTGGGAAGGAGGAGAGTATTCTATTCCCCAGATTAAGTCTGGCAAACTCCCAGCCACACCTCGCTTTGCCCGGCTCTGCATGCAGCCAGCCGGGTACCACAGGCTGACACTCACAGAGTATTTGCTATTTCCCTGGTCAATGGCCAGGAGCGTCCGTGAAGATTTCCTCCTGAGGTGATGCTCGCTCTCTTACCCAGATAAGTCATTCTCTATCACCATTTTCTGTAGCCCAGCAGAGATGCTGTTGCCAGCATTTGGAGTCGATGCAGTATGGTCAGCTGTGACGGAGACCTGCACACACGCTGGGTTACTGAGCGCAGCGTTGACGTCCCTCAGAATCCGAGGCAGGGGCCCAAGTTTTGTTACAGTGCCCTGAGGAGAAATGGGTACAGAAACGTTACAGGCTGCTTGCTTCCTACATAAAGAGAACCCTGGCCAGTTGTCCCAGGATCTGCAAAGTCTCTCAAGGAACTCTTTCTTAGCAACATTAGTTTCCTCAGTCGGTCAGCCACACTTCTTTGTAGTAGTAGGGGTACCCCTCCTTAACTCGTGTGTGGATCAACAGAGTCTGTACACAGAAAAAAGCAGGTGTGTGTAAGTCTGGTCCAACCGGTCTTGATGGAGACCCATTAATTAAAAACGTTTCTTTTTTAAAGTGAAACTAGCTGAAGTCAGGAGGCACGTTCTGTTCCTTCCTACTGCACGACACTTGCTGAGACAGAGGTGAGGTCTAGTGTTCTGAGCACAGGACTGGGAACCAGCAGCACCTAAGTTCTGATCCCCCCTGCCTCGGTTTCCCCGCTGGATAAGGGGATAATTATACTTACCTGCCTCATAGGGGAGTTGTGAGGATTAGACAGACAATGTGTGCGAGGCTACAGAAGTGCTAACCACTGCTAGACTACAGAGATCCTGCTACTCAGTTATCCCTTCCTGATAACCAACAGACGTCTTTCTTGTGGATGGTTTGCAAGGAACCGCCGTGTAGTGTGGTGCATGCTAAACTCCCAGTCACTCCCCGCAATCCCAGGAAGTGTCTGACTGAGGTGTGACCCCCGTAGAGCTTGCCCCTCCAGCTCCCCATCTCCCCATGGGTACCTGCTCGAGCTGAGAAATGACCTCCCACAGTAGAGAGTGCAAAGTGGACAATTCCCGGCCCAGGTCGATGTAGCCTTCAAAGCCAGCTGTGTTCGAGATGGTTTCTGGATTGGAAATCTCCAATAGAAATCGCTGCATGTTAGTCCATTCGTGTTCCAGAAACTGATTCATGAAGGACATATACTCCTCTTTGCTGCCAAACCTGCCAAGACAGGCACATGAATCTCAGCTAGAACTTGTGAGTAATGGCGCACAAGTAACCAGCTGTAAACAGCACAGGGAGGAACAGAGCTAATTAGCGCCATGCTGAGCCTTTCTTCCAGCCCTCTGCACCCTTTCCTGTGCCAGGAACCACCGCCATTTGTCCAACTCCTTTGCCTCCCGCTTTGGGGACTGAGATGAAGTGGGGCATTTGACCCAACCCACCCTTCCATACTGATGTGTCTTTGCAATCTAGAAGCAGTCGCTGATCTTGCTGCTTTGAGCCATCTCTGTGCAAATACAATTCCTGACCGATGCTAAACAAAAGCCTCCCCTGTGTCTAGCAAATACCCGGGACCCAACGTTCACGGAAGGGCCTGTCCCTCCAGCAGCTAGCCTGGGATCTGGCCTGATACAGCCACTGGAAGTATCGCTACCAAGTCACTGCTAACATGCAGTCCTCTTTCTCCCAATGATCATTGCCCAGCACCTGAATCCCTTCTCCTGCCCTCTGCCGCTCTCTGCGATGTGTGGAGTGACAGCCCGTGGCAGAGCTCCTGAATGCTGCCACCCCAGTGCATTAATAATGTCATTTCTAGTAGCCCGTCTGCCACAGTCTCTGCTGTCTGTGTCAGAGACAGCGTCTGTTCCTACGTGTGAAGGCTTGCAAGGCGAAGATGTGTCTGGCATGAGAATGTGCTGGGTGTCAAGCTCCAAATATGCTCACTGAAAGATGAAAGGGAGACAGGACAGGGATGAAGGCTACAGATTGGGCAAAACTCCCACTGACTTCACTGGGGCCAGCGTACGTGTATTTGAATCGGGGTCCAGCAGCCTCAGGACCAGCCCCTCCCCTCCATGTTGTCTGCTTGGCTCATTTGGGATGGTGGAGCCTAAGAAAAATCATCCCCCACGTGGGGCTGTTACTGCTCAGCATCGCATGCAAAAGGGAGAAGGCAGGCAAGACCTCCTGCTGTCAGTGCACTCCTCTACAGAGCTGCTAAGTGCAGTTTAGTTTTCAAAGTGGGAGTAGAAATCTTCAGCCATAGCCCCTTATGCTGGGATCTTGTAAGTTCAGTAGGTTCAAGCCTAAGTAGTGGCGGTGAGACCTTGAAAGGCAAAGCCAGGGTACCGCAAGCAGTGGCATAGGTGGGACTCTTCCCTCTGAACCACGTCCCAGTGAGCTAGTAGCAGGTACTGTACCACTGGAGGTACAAGGTTTGGAATAAGACCTCATCTGACAACCTATTGTTTTGCTCATTTAAACCCCCCGGGGGGCGCTCTTTGTACGAGCACGTTCCATTAATCCCCTCGACTTGGCTAACTCCCACGACACCTCACTGAAATCTGGCAATTTCAGGCAAGGTAGCTTTTACTGATTCCGAACCACTGACTGGTGCTACTCTGTTCTGCCCACTCAGAGGTGGTTGCATTTCAGTAGTGGGAAAAGTGACCTCTCTGTATGGTCTGAAAAGTGTAAGTGCTTTGGGTTCTTTGGCTGAGAGTCACTTTGTCATTGTGCTCCAGTTACATTAAGAGCAGGGCCAAGCGCCTTCAAACAGTTCCACAAGGGAATTAGGGCCTGATCCGGCTTAAATTCACGTCTTTTGCATCAAGTGGCTTAAACAGAGGTCATAAATGGAATAAATCCGATGGTCTTAGCCAGGTCCCAAGTTCAAAGTCACGTAACAATTTGGCACAATTAGTGGATTTAACTTGAAACATACAGACAGGGCAGGTGTAGCCAGGGGAATGCGGAGGGGGAAGTGTGGGGCGACACAAACTGGATTCATGTGTGAGAAAACACTAGCAGGATAACCGACGAGGCTGCAGCTCATATATGGGGAAACTAGCCATCTACGCTAGACCTCGCTCCCGCTGGCACTAGCTGCCCGTCATGTTCCTAAGCACTAAGTTAAATTCACCCTCTGAATGCCGTTCGTGGACCTGGAACACCAGATCATCAGGGACCTTGGGGCTTCTGTCCAACATTTGCCCAATTCTCTTTTGGAGCCAGTTTATTTTCGTTGGATTCTCTGCGCCACCCCCCGCTCCGCCCCATGTCATCCAGTCTTCGTTCTACTGAAAATGTCTTATTTAAAGCATGACAGATCCCCTTCTACTGGCTGGTACGAGGAGACTTGCTGGGGGAGGAGGTCGGCAGTGACGTTGGCTGCAGGAGAGCTCAGCTCGATTGCTCAGGCTTGAGTAATGCCAGCTTAGTTAAAGAGCCTTTCTTGCTAGGTCCAGAAACGTGAAACTTTTAACTTTTAGTTAAGGACGGGTCAGAAAGATGGATACTTTCTGTCACTTAGTGTAACACACTTGTACATCTTATGTTTGTGTCTGGCTGTGGGCATGTGAATTAAATTAGTTTGCAATTCTAAGAAGCTTTTGACTGAGGTTGTCCATTCACATTTCCAAGAGCTCATGGTTCTGTTGTCAGAGCTCAGGATAAGTAGCTCAGAGCTTCCACTGCAGCCAGTGGAAAGATTTTCAGAAATCTCTTCCTTTGTTTCCACCAACCCTCTGGGCTTAGATAGAGATTGACAGCTTCCCCAATTTCTTCCCCCATCCTCCAAGTTCAGAGACGTTCATTTTAATAACTGGGGTGATCCCTGAGCTCAGTTTGAGGGAGCAGATTCCCCCAGAGCTACAGATTCCATAGGCTCTGGCAGCATCATTCATTCGGGGTCTGGGCTGTGCAGTCTACTTAAGATACTTTATCACATCCACTGTAACTTGGGACAAATGGTGGACGGCACCTTTCTTACCAACCCTGGTGTACTTCAAAACTGGGCGTTTCAACTTCTGCCCTATCTGCCTCTCCCTGGGTTGAGAATGGGCCGTTCTGCTCAGAAAAGGCCTAGCAGCAGGTCGGTTTGGAGAATAAAATGGTCTCTCTCCCAATCGAGGTATGGCTGGAGGCACTGACCTAGTGGGAACGGGAAAGGCAAGGTGTTTCCCATGGGGGGAATGTGGAAAACAGAGGAAACAGCAGGCACTTCTGTAAGTCTGTCTGTCTAGAGGGTGGCTGAAGGTAGCAGCAGGGACAAAATTGCCTTTGCTGACTGACTGTTCCTTAGTGGGAATAAAAATGGTCACCAAATCTCTCTGAGCAATGGTTTCTTATCTGCTGCTGTTCAGTGGCCAATCTCAATGAGTTGGATCTCAGTCCTGCTCCTGACATCACACCTGGCACGAATTGCCCCCTTTGCAGCTAGTTTCAGCAGACAGGCCGAGGACTGCGTTCTCACCAGACCCTGCTCCTGCTTCCCTTGAAGTCACTGCCATTGACTTCCATGGCACCTGGGTGCCTGCAGTTCTGGCTGCATCCCACGCAGGATGGCTGCCTTGCAGGCTGTCAGGCTAGCACTGAATATTCACTGAACACAATTAACTGACACTGCAGACTCCTTCATGCTCGTCGAGAACAAACCCAACTCCTTCCCCCAACTTACTTGGCAAAGTTGGCGAGGTTCTGTGTGACCTTGGCAATGAGGGTCAAAGTGCGTGCAGTGCGGTCATCAGGGTATTCCTGGAGCAGGTTAAAGAGGGAGGGGGACATGATGGCTGGACAGAGGAACCGGAGGAATAAGGAGGCACTGATGAGCCGCTCGCTGATGTCTGGCCGGCCACGGTTACTGCACTCTTGTCTCCACGAAGCAAAAACCTCTTTGAGTTCCCTTGGGAAGACACTGCAACGAGAATTCAGGGTTTGTAAATTCAGGGCTAGGAACCTGAGCCTATTTCATAGTTCTGGCTGGCAAGTACGACAGCCAAGCGTAACAACCCCCTTCCCCAGAAGTCATCCATGGGGCATGAACTCTGCTCCTCCAGCACCAAAAGTAGAGGCCTCCATCCCCTGAGCTGAAAGAGTAACTCCATTAACCAGTAGCAATAATAGGCTCTTATCCTCTTTTGTGGAGCTATCACTAGAAGGGGATAGGAAGCCACACTGAACCAGTGGGCTACATAGGAAGAGTTTTGATTGCCTCTGAAACTTGCAAGAGAAGCAACTTAATCCACCAGGCAGAACTAGCCCCACTGTCTGTTTCCACTGAAGATGCTGGGAGCTGAATGTGCAGAAAAGCAGGCTCACAACAGCCTTCAGGTTTGGTGCTTAATGGGCTCCTATCAGCTGGATCGAGGCCCCCACCCAGGCTTCATTAAGAAGGGATTTACAAAAGTCTTAATAGGAAAAAAAATCATCCTGGCTTTTTAAGTTTCAGCAAAGAGAACAGTTTGTCCTGGGATTGAAACTTTCTCAGCTGTGCCGTGAACCCAAACAACAGCCTTGTGCTAGTGCCCGAGACCCGGGAACGGAACCGCGCATGGAACCGGCCAGGCTCGTGTCGCTGCCCAAAGGGAGAGAGATGGGAAATGTCAACTGCACGGAGAGTGACAACAAAGCCCTGTCCAGACATGAACTGATTCTTTCCCACCCCCTCCCGGCAAGGTTGGGAAATGTTAACAACCCTATTCTGCAGGTGGGAAACTGAGGCACAGAGATGACGTGACTTTACCAAGGGGACACAGGGAGTCAGTAACGGGGCCGCCATTAGAACTTGGGGCTTTTTGTCTCTTGGGCGCACACCCAGTCTAGTAGATCACACAAAGTTAAAATGCTCCTATACTGGGGCAGGGAACAGGAAGTTAGTGTTGTACAGGCATGTGTGTCAAATTCTGCTCTCGGAGACTGGTGTAAAGCCAGAGTAACTGCTTTGAAGCCACTGAAGTTATTCCTGGTTTACACCAGTGTAACTCAGGCCAGCATCCAGCCCATTTACCCTGAATCCCAGACCCCAAATTCACTTGGGTTTAACCCGTGGGTTCTGGCTCCTGAGGGTGCGTCTCACCAGAGAGCCTCTTGCCTGTTTCCCCTCCCCATTCCCAGCCTCCCACTATCCTGTTCCCAGCATGTTTTATTGACTCAGCTGGATCCAGCCACTCCCAGAAGGGAGGCTGGACGATGGGTCTGAGCAGCCTGGCCAGCTGCCAGCAGCTCAGTGGCACAGAATGCCCTGGCCACTCCCCCCGGAAGCTGCCCTGCCCGTGGAGCAGGCTCTTTGTCTAAAAGCAAACAGATTCAGAGACCCTGATGGAATAAGCATGCGCAGACTGGGGTCACCGCAGCCCGGCCCACGTTAGTGAGCAGCCAGCTCAGTGGAGAGCGTCCCAGCTCCTCTGCCGAGAACGGGGGACGAGCTATGTGACAGTGAGAGGCAACCCGCGCAGACTTATCTCCTGCCATCCCCCTCTTGCGCTGGGCCTGACTGCCTGCGGCGTGAAGGCGGAGACTCGCCCGGCCTGGGCAGAACATACCGTGCCCGTTACAAGGAGCCTGGGTGGCTCTTCTCCACCAGCAGTGGTGCGCTGAAGTGGAAGCACAGCCAGGGAAAACCACCCTCCTGGGTCTGCTCCTCCCTGCAAAGCGTGGCAGGCGGTCAGGATGTTAATGGAAGAGCACCCCTCCTGGTGCCCGTGCTCTATGCCATGCGCCCCGCACGCCCCAGGCTGAGGTCAGTGGGCCCATCCGGTCCAATGGCACGTTCTCCTCCCCAGTGACACAGCTCAGGACCTACTGGGGCATGTGTTCCATCACAGTCAGGTACGCCCTGTGGCTGAATGGCTTGTTATGGCTTCTTTCCTTCCCTGGCTACGAATTGGCCTAGCTTTTAGCATCTCCACTGCTCTGTTCTGCTACACAGAGCATGCGCTCATCAATACATTAGTGCCTGGAAATCCCGATATGTCCTTCCTCAGCCCTCCTGGCGGGTTTCCGGGCAGGTCAGAGCGCCATGCCTCTCGGTGAGGGGGATACTCCGAGTCGACGTGCTGTCCCGGTCGGTAGTTCCTGTTGGACAGGTAGCTTTGGCTTCCCCTTCCGATCCTGGCGGAGTGCTCTGGCCACGTGGCAGGGACCCTGCCTGTTCAGCACGTTTTTGGGTGTGTCGTTTTCCTCTGTGCTCAGGGTCCTGCCTGTCTCTCCCATGTTTGTCTCCCCACCCTGTACATCCCCCCAGTCACTACTGAGGTCACCTGTACCCCCTGCCCCTTCCTTCTAGACCTGTCACCATTGACAGTTCAGCAGTTACCCATGGAGAAACTGGAGAGTCCCGTCATCACCCTTAGCTCTGAAGCAGGAACTCACTGCGTGGGAACAGGTGGCACATGCTGATCTCTTTAAATGTCACTGGATGCGTCTCTCTCCTCACTCTGTCCGTTTCATCTCTACGTCTCTTCCCTCCCCAGCTCTCTGTCCCCAGCTCATTTCTCTTTCCCCTTTCTTAACGCTGCTCTGTTTTTCCGACTCTGAAATGCTAAAGGTCCCCTGAACGAGAACAATAGTTAATTTATAGCCATGTGGACTTGATGGAGGGGGACATTTAAAAAAAATGAATGGTCTCCGCAGAAAGCTGCGCACGACAGAGATCTGCTCCCAGTACCCCCCATAAAAGCCCAGGGCCATTACAGATTCTCTACCCCAAGCCTTCTAAGTCACACCGGCTAAATCCTCCTCCTCTGGCTCAATCCATATAAATGGGCAAAACCCCTTTACTTCATGCTACTTGCCCAGTAAAACTGGGATCCTTTAAGCAATTTAAGGGTGGAACAATCTGGACAGGTTGAAGAGTTACTGAAAAATACCCCTTTAAAATGTATGTGACAGCGGCACACGCAGTAACGCGAAGTGCTCTTTGCTAATGCAGGATGGGAGTCAGAGAGACCATAAACATTTAATTGTATAATGAGGGATGGAATTTGGTTAGCAGGGCTTTATGCGATGGAGGGGTCCATAATTCATTATCCAACTGTCCTGTAACGAGCTTCCGCATGCTGAAATTCTGCTTACAGTGAAACTTTCCAGATGTCCAAATCATGCCATAATTGTAACAATTTTCAGTTATTGTGAACCTCTTTCCTCTCTCCAGCAGCTCCGCCTGCAGACTCTGCCACTCTGTTTTTCAAGCAAGATCTGTAACTGCCAGGGTGCCTTGGCCAATCCAAAACACTCATCGTCAGCCCAATTATTCCTCCAGAATCAGTGAACAACAAGGCCCTGAGAACAGCATCCCGGCTGCTTCAGACTCTTCCTAAAGGGAGGGCCGGAGGAACACATCTCCCCATTGCATCTTTGACTTCCCCCGCGTCTCTTTTCTAGGCTATTTTTACCTTGACCTTTTAATGGCACCTCTGTTATTTTTAGCCAGAAATGAATTCAAACAACAATAATTTGCATCTCTGTCTTTTTCCGTCTATAATTTGCCAATGACTGAAGACATCAGGTGTCACTCATGGGAAAGAGATAAGTTCAATTCCTGAGGCCAAGAGAGCAATTAACTGTCCCACAGTAAGTTCTAGGCTACCAGGAAAAGAAGCTGCCCTTTTTGCTTCTTTGTGGTGGATACAGAAGGTCTGAAGTGAGGATTTATTTGACTGACTGTTCTCTCCCTGAGAAATATCAACTCTGTTCCTTCCCAGGTTTGCCGAAGGACCTATTGGACGTCTTGGGAGATTATCCAGTGAGAGTTTTCATGGAAGGGCTGGGGGATGAATCTTTAGTGGAGACTTCCTTTCTCCAAAACGATCATGAACATTAATGTTAAACCGGCATGAAGAAAAACTAAAGCCAGAGACTTAAGCAGTCTGATAAAAAGCCCATCCATTTGCTCAGCTTTCATTTGTCAGTCTGGTGATGTCATCCGGACCCGAATCTCTAATGTAAAAAAAAAAGCAGGATGACAAAAAAGGAAGGAGGGAACTCTTTCAGGCCCTTCTTTACCCACCAAAGAAGCTTAAAAGGGCACAAGCCTAACTTTTTCCCTTTGCAGGGCATCTTTAAAGGGAGCACTGGGGACAGGCCCCAAGGAGTTGTGGCTCCTAGTGCCCTGAATACTTGAAAACACTCTGTATAGATAAGCACCACCACAAACTGAATCCACAAAGAGCAGCTAAGCCAGCTGTGATACACATATGCCATTAGCGTTTGTCTACCCAAGCCAGCTCCAGCCAGACCTCCAACAGCCCCAGCCTCCATCACTTCACAGCTGAGAAACTATGATTCCAAGCAAGAGCCCTGTGCAAGTGAAGTGAGGAATTCCCCATTATCGCTGACACAGGATGCTTCTGATGTAGAGAGACAGGCTCCTCCACAGGCATGCACAGCACGGAGCCAAAGGGTGCTTGAGAGAGAGAGAGAGAGAAATGAGGAAATTAACAGCGTCAGCTCTGCCCCGCCCGCTGGGGAACTCGGCATCCTGCAGCCCAAGTGCCTTCGATGTTCAGTGCTGCTTCCTTAAAGGCGTGGTTAGAAACTTAGGCACCACCTGCTACACAGAAATTCCAAACCTGATGTTAGAGAAGTGCAAGATCAGAGGTGGCAGAGATGGAAAAGACTGAGGCGATCTCCAACCCCTGCAAGAGCAGGAGAGAGCCCAAGGGAGGACATAGCAAAGAGTAACGTGATGCTGCACTTGGTTGTAGCCAAAAGGCCAAGATCCTTCAGTTGCATCGCAACGTGTGCATGAGTGAACAGTGTGCGTGCATGCAGTGTGCATGAGTCTGGGGGAGTGTGCAGAGTCTCACCTGATTCCCAGTGGCACTCATGGCACTGATTTCTACACTTTGCTCAAGTCTGTCACACTGCAATGCTTGCAATCCCTGTCTGAATGGGTTCTTAGGGGGGTTCAAGTGGGAATCAGTGCACACACTGGGCCAGATTCAGGTCTGATTAACAGCAGTGGAGTTCTACTTGCTAACCTCAGGGCTCGCTGGGGAAGGCGTATCTTGGTCTCTTGCTCCATTGCCCTTGCCCAGTTTTGTGTGCATGCGTGTACACACCACCCTTGGCATCAGTCCTAATTGCCACAAAGAATGCTAAAGAAGAATCACTGAGTCAAGCAATCCCACTCATCTACCCACCGAAAAGAAATGTAAAAGCAAAGCCATGCTGCAGCCACACTTCGGCTAACAACACACTTGCCTTGTTCTCTCACTGATGACACTGTGGAGAAGGGCAGAGTCTCGCCCCTTGCAGACAATGGACACACAGAGCTGGGCACAAACTGATTGTCACTGTGATCACTTTTTGTAGAAAAAAAGTGACGTTTTCCAAAATAAAGTCAGTTTTTGCAAAACACTTTTCACTGCGAAAATGGCACATTTCTGCAGCCATGACCACCCTCATTCTCTTCCCAGGCAAGACCCCAAGGGTGCCCAATAAGAAGCTGTGAGTGTTTGTAGAGCATGCATGCACATTGACATTGCCTCCTGCTTCCCTACACAGCACCCTAAGGGTCCTGCTTCTGCTCATTTCGATTCCCCACCCCCTGATGGGTTGGTTTCCCGGGGCAGCCCCCCAGCTGAAAGTGAGAACTCCCAGCAGCTACTGAGGGCATCTGCAACCTATAGGGCTCTGAATAGCTGTCTTTCGCCACTAGAAGACAGGACAATGCAAAACAGACTGAGTGCTGGGATGGTACATCCCACACCTACAGCAGTACCATGTCTGCAACAGTGGAAAAGCAGGTGGAGGGAAATGAGGGTTGTAGGGATACTGACCAGTAAGAATTGATGATTTTACAGAAGGCCAGCTCACAGCACATTTTCAGGTTGCTCTGATGTTCAGGAAGGTCCGAGGATGAGCACTTACTGGGGTCCACCTCGCAATTTTCATCTGATTCGTACAGAGCTTTGATGAACTCCCCTACAAAACAGACAGACAGAGATGGTCTTTGGTGGCAAGGTAGATATGCATTCCACAAGCCCCAGTGTATAAGGGGTTAACCCAGACCCTTGCCTGTCACGTGGGACTATAAGGCAAGAGAAGATACCTAGGGGGAAGGGTGAGGCCTTTCTCCTCCCAGCTGGCTAAGAGCCTGCAAGGGGTCTGGGGATTTGGACCCACTGTTCTGGGTGGCTTATTTTTGTCTGGTATCCTTTGTTTATGGATCAATTCAGGAAAACCTGGAGGAAAGGGACTGAAACCCTGGCTGGTGAGTGTTATTCTCTTCCCCCGGCTGGCAGTTCTAGTGATGTGTCCAGAGGCAGTTACACTGAAATTCTGCCGTAATGCTGCTTTGCCAAAACACAACTTTCCTAGGGTGCTACTGGCCTGGATTTGCCCCAGGATGGTGCCAGTTTGGACAGATCACTCCCGTAGCAGAAAGAGTCCACACATGCCATGGCGATTTGTGAGGTCAGGACTTGCATCGTGTCATTATGATCTCAGCTGACAGTGTCCCGATGCTGGAGACTGTGCCGGTGACATGTCACAACACGGTCACGGGCCACAGGAGAAATGGGCAGTCAGAGGGGGAGATCCCAGAAGGAATTTACTGGTTGGTTGATTTGGAGCTAAACCACCAGGCAGCGTCACCTCAAGGTCATTCTCCTCGATCCCCTTCACTCCCATTTGCCAGTTGATCATTCATCACACTCCCTGTGTTACACGTTATGGGCCTGACTCACCCCTCCCTCACACTTGCACCACCATTTCTACCTGTGCACAGTGGGCAGAACTATCGCCATTCGGACTGGGGAGTGTTTTACCCCACCCCCACCAACTTCTACACAGGAGTAGCTGACCGACCAAGGCAGTGGGAGAGTCAGACGCAGGACAGGCTCCAAGGGAAGTGGTGGAGACACAGTGGAGGGACATTAATGGGAATACAGGCAGGATTTAGCTGCCTCTCTGCATCTCCAGGAGGTGCAGGACCAGGCTGCCAACCTGGACAGAACAAAGCTCCCTGGGAAGGTGACCAGTTGGGCTGGATATTGCAGGAGAACAACCTTCCCCAGCAGGCTGGGCTGCTTCAGGTTCTGCTCCCAGGCAGCGCAGATGGGTTTGCAAAAAGAATCTGTTTGAGTTCTGGGAAGAGGTTCAGTTTCCCTTTTCACCCTGATCCATTTGCCCATCAACAATTACTGACCACGGGCCCTTCCTTGGCCAGTTCCCTTCTGTGTTTTCCCCCTTCTATTGCCTGAAACAGGTTTTAGTGATTTACCAGACCGCCTGTCCAATGTATTTTCCACTCAGCCGGCCAGCTTTTGGAATCTCTCTGTTTGCTCCAGGTGATGCCTGCTGGGTTTATCCTGCCCCATTCCTTCCTACGCTTAAAGCAGGCAATATGCACTATTGTGTTACCCTGCCACACAAAGATGAATTGTTTCCTTCATAAAATATCTACCGACAATTCGCGCCCCAAACAGTGAACAACTGCTGCAGCCTTCCCCTGCACCAGCCTGGAGCAGTGGGAATATTTGCGATCTAGCCCTGGAAATTCTAGCCCTTCATTAATCTTCTGACTTCTTAGCATTTTCAAAGGCAATCTGCTTACAGACTTACCTTCAGCCAGAAATCAGTAGAAAGTAGAAACAAATAATATCCCTTTTTAAAAACTCTCCTGAGGTCTGCTGGTTTGACTGAATTTGCCTGATAACCCCAGGTCTCCATCCCTACTATTTTTAATCTGGTAATTCCACTTTTAGGCATTAACAATCACCTCCCTTCTAATGTTACATAACCCTCTTGCCAGGATCTTGCTATGAATTTAGTATGAACGAGAAGGAAATTAATAGCTAGATAAACAGCAATAATGTACGAATGTGCATCAGATCAGACAATGGATCCAGCAAGCCCTCTATTGTGTCTCTGGCTGAGTCTAGTAGATTATGCTTCAGAGGAAAGCAATTCAGTCCCCACCCTTCCCCCAACAGCACCTGACCATTGTGCAGTGCTGCCCATGTGGGACTTCTCCCTGACCTTCCAAAGTTGATCAGCTTTTGCCCTGAAGCAGAAGCCATAATTATCTTGATTTGTGGCAGAACAGCTGTTGTTTGGGTCACAAAGTTATCCAGCCCTTCTTAAAACCAGCATGAAGGGTTTCTGACCATGTGGAATGCAACAGTCGTCACTCAAATTTGTGAGCTCTCATCAGATCCATTAGTGATTAGGGAAAATCACACTGTGATCACTTGATTTGCTCTTCAGGCGGAAGGAACCAATAAGGCCTTTGTGACACTGCGAATGCATGTATGGGGAGCCGGGATGCTATGGCAGAAGACCTGGTGCAGAACATAATTTAAAGTATTAATTTGCTTTCTCCTCTGAAAGTAGATTAAAGAGCTCAAATTAGATAACTCAGCAGTGACCTCAAGGAGACCCCACAGAGCTGTAAAGTACGGCCCTCTGCAGTCACTTCGGGGCAGCCCACACAGACTACATGCTCCAGCATGTGCTGCTCCATCTGGATCCAAGTGGCCTGACTGCATTGCATGCTGGGATTTGTAGTCCCACAGGCTGCACCCCCACACTAATCTGCAATCTGCTCCATTTTATGCAGTATACACACGGACCATAAGCTCCTGACGAAGTGCCAGAGCAGCCATGGGCTGGGTAAAGTTACGACGCCCCTGATAGAACTGAAGGCAGGTAGTGCTGAGTTAATGTTCCTTCCATAATGGAGAACACAAGGGACTGCAGAGATTAAGGCACTTCGTGGGGTAGATCCAACCTCCCCACTGCTGCTCCTGCCTGCACATACCTAAGGCATCCTGTAAGTACTTCTGCCCCACCAGCTTCAGGTACTCCTCGATGGCTTTCGTGGCCAGCGTGTTCTCTCGGAAAATGAGGTGCTCATTTTCTCCACAGCGGTCAACTTCAGACATCATGAGGTCGGTCAAGAAATCCTGAAAAGGAAAGTCCATTGTGGGTTATCACTTACGACACGTGCGTCATTTAGCAGAGAACACACCGATCCCCCTTCTCCATGGGGCTATCACATTCACAGGGGGCCAGTGCATTGTAGGTGTTGCGGTCCATGAAATCCCCTAGCTTCTCCTGCATGTATCAGTCACTTCTTTACCAACCCTGCCCCTTTTCTGGCTCCCCTGCAACTCCTAACGATGGAGACAAGTAGTACAATACATCTCTGAAGAGTTACTACGTAGCCATCTGGAAAATAAGCCATTCTAGCCCTTATGCAGCTTCAACATTACCACCACCACCGTCTTCACTGAGGGCCTGCTTTTTAAAGGGCTCTCAACCCGGCCGCCTGTTCTTTTGGGCACAATTTTGTCCACCCTGTTAACTGCAGCTACATTTAGACATCTAACTACAGTGCCAGCAAAACAGCCATTTGCTGTGCCCCCAGATAATAGCTGAAAATCAAGCCCATAATATGCACCAGGATACTTCAATGTCATATTTACTCTAGTGTTCAGGCAAGTAAACAATACTGCCGCATGCCCGCTGACGGACTCATTTCCAGTTTGATGTACATGGAATCCAACTGCTCGTTAATCTTTGTGCTGCACAGCCATGTGCCTGGTGAGTGGGGGCCAAACACGCTGCCAGCCATGCCCTCTGCATTAGTGAAGGCTGACCTTGACTTGCCAAGTCTAATAGCACTTCCACACTCCAGAGAGCACCACTGTGTTTGCTGGAATGAAGGCGTTAACAGGGGAAGGCGGGAGGCTCACCTGATTCCCCATGTGCCCAGCTGAAAAGCCGCTGGTATTCAGTTGGCAGGAGATGTGAATGCAGGTTAAATATTGCACAGTTTTAAATGCTAAGAACACCTGCGCATGCTGTTATCTGCATTGCTAATAACATGTTTGCTCTGGAATTCTGGACTGCTCTGGGTACTGAAAGGTATCCTGCCCCTTCCCAGAGCTTTGACATTCATTTGGAGGGCAGAAGGGAAATCAGTTGCCAGATACTGTGTGAATTACCCACATTAAACCTTTGACTGTTGCCTCATGCAGGAGAGAAAGAGAGACAGAAATGCTGACGAGTAAATTTACTTATACAGCTGAAGACATTTTTTTAAACCACCTTCCACTAAAACAAAATCTTGTGCTTGGTGGTAACTTCACAGAGATAATGAAATTCTTCTTCCTTCGGCTTCCATAAGTATTGGTAAAACACACAACCCGTTGGCTGGGGCATGAATTGTAGAATGCAGTGCCCATCTCCAAGCCTTGTTATGGCATTCCCCAAATAAATACTGCGCAGTCAGTGGGCCAGCAAGGTACATGCATAGCTTGGAAGAACCTCATGGTTTCTCATGTCCATGAATCTGCCCCACCCGGCTATCATAGGCACAGCAGAACGATGTTAAGAAAGGCAAATGAGCCCGGGCCGCAATGTTTTCTCCCCTTCAACAAAGTAACGACTCATTCACCTTCCCCTTTTACAGAAACCAAACACTGCAGACAGATATGCTGGGGTATCACATGATTAAACTAATAAGCAGCACATTCCAGGAAGACCTCCAGTCTTGAGTCTCAAGATGTCCAAAGAGATGGGATCTGAATAGATTTTCTTCACTTTGGGGACCCATGAAATCCAATCAAGCCCTAACACCAGCCATCTGACTCCAAGACCAAGGTAGCATTGGTATTGGGAGAGGGGTGGTCCCTGGGAATCAGTTTTCCATGAGTGAGAAGGAGGTGTTTCTGATTATCTGAGTGTGCAGAGTATAACACTTGATACTCCAAGTCTCAGGCCAGATAATCTGACTGGGGTCTCAGAATCCGTCTCTGGAGAGTTTGGAGGTTTGGTCTTATCCCATCCCTGCATACTTTCCAGTAAGACATCACTGACATCCAGACAGGGGAGGAAGGACCTACCCTTCAAGATAATTAAGTAATATAGTGATGCCAGATTGACAGCCTTGGAGCTTGTCATCCTCCATCCACACAAAGGACACTCACAGGCATAACAGAACAAGCTTCCCCCGTCCGCTTTCCTGCCAAATGTGCCTCACCCAAGGCCTGCGGCTGAGACAGTCATTCAGGTTCCACCCCTTGGCCGTGGCTCCCCAGGTTGCCTTCAAGGGGGGCAGTTAGTTCTAGTCCTGGAAGAGTTTATTTTGGATGTAGACACCTGTCAACGAGGAGCTGAATTAAGACACATCAACTCATCTCACGTAGGCCAAATGGGGATAAATTTCAGTCACTTTCCAATCTGTGTTGAATTTGAACTGGTGACTGTGACAAAGTTCCTGCTCTACCTTGGTGGGTCTTGCGCTTATTGGCGGATTTGCTCGCCTTGAAGCTTCATGGCAGCCCTCAGCTTTGCCGTTTTTCTGAACCCACAGTCCAGGTCAACTCCTCCTGTGTCTGACCAGGAGTTGGGAGGATTTGGGGGGAACCCGGGCCCACCCTCTACTCCAGGTTCCAGCCCAGGGCCCTGTGGAATGCAGCTGTCTAGAGTGCCTCCTGGAACAGCTGTGTGACAGCTACAATGCCCTGGGCTACTTCCCCATGGCCTCCTCCCAACACCTTCCTTATCCTCACCATAGGACCTTCCTTCTGGTGTCTGAAAATGCTTGTACACCTCAGTCCTCCAACAGTCCGCGTTCTCACTCTCAGCTCCCCGCGCCTCTTGCTCCCAGCTCCTCACACGCACACCACAAACTGAAGTGAGCTCCTTTTTAAAACCCAGGTGCCCTGATTAGCCTGCCTTAATTGATTCTAGCAGCTTCTTGATTGGCTGCAGGTGTTCTAATCAGCCTGTCTTAATTGTCTCCAGAAGGTTCCTGATTGTTCTGGAACCTTCCCTGTTACCTTACCCAGGGAAAAGGGACCTACTGAGTCTGGGGCTAATATATCTGCCTTCTATTACTCTCCTACAGACCCGGATCCCAATAGGATTACTCTCCTATAGCCATCTGGCCTGACCCTGTCACATGACCTACAAGCAAAGGGACTATTAAAGTGATACACTGCCCATTCCAGCCCCAAGCGACTTCATTCTTTACCAAGACTGTATTGTCATGTCTCTTTCATGAAAACAAAGAAAAATCCAGACTGCTCACAGTACATTCTGCACTAAAAACAAACAAACAACAAAAAAAACCTGGAAGAAAGATTGATAGGGACTGTGAAGCACTGCGAGGTCCGATTCCTCAGCAAAGACTGACAGCTGTAGTGCAGCTCACTGACATGACTGATGGCCACTGCTTTGCTCTCCCCTTGTTAGGAAGATTAGACATATTTACAGTAAGTGGAAATAAAGCGATACCCAGTTGTATTTTAACATCCGCCTCCATCCTTCCAAACACCTTGTCCAAAGGCAAGGCTCATGTGCCAACCGTGATCAATAGGAGCAGCAATTCTGATCAGCCCGTAAGGCCAATACTACTGCTAGTCCTGACTGCATCTCATGGATTAGTCTAACTGGTCTTTAGTGATGCCTGTGAACAGAAGTAAATGCCAGTCTTCCATCGTATGTGAGATGCAGAGTCAGTGCCCCACAAGAGAAAAACACTGACTCCAGGGGTCCGCATAGCTCCAGCTGGGACAGTACCAGATCGTCCGAATGCCTATGCGGCCTGCCCTGCATTAAAGCAATAATATGAGCAGCTACAATAACAATAATACTCCTTTGCATCTTCTAGGTGCTTGGCAGGTATCTCTTCAATTCCTGCAACTGCTGACTCCTTTTAAAAATGAACGAACATTTCACTGAAATAAAAACAGCAGCCCAGCAGGGCATAAACACACAATAGGGGGCATGAAGAGAACATGTGGCACTGAATCATAGCCCAGGCTCGGTACAGCTGTGCAGGGTATGAGCCATGCAGGCATAGAATCAATGTTCTGGTACGGCCAGTCATCACGTAGATTCCCCGTCCCTCCCTCCTACCCGTTCTGTCAGAAGGCTTTCAGATCCCATTCCGCTAAGTAATGCACTGACATAGGCACTTGATACGTTCCATTTACTTTTCCCTAACATTTCAGTAGAGGCATCAACATGATTCAAACATACAGTCTTTGGAGTATGAATCGGCAGCTGCGCTTGTTGAATTACAGGGCAGGCTGACACAGCTCCAGTGCCAGAATGGGAAAGATCTTAGTAGCATTGGCAGTTTAATTTATGAATGTGGGTGTAATCAACTGAGGCTCCTAACCACTTCCCTTTCTGGGAAAGTCTGATAGGATTTGATAGGGATGCAACCAAGTGGGCTCTACAGAAACTCTGGAGACTGACAGAAATCAACGGAGAATGAGAGCCTTCCTTTAGAATGTTGAAACCATCCTGGAGAATGTAACAAAGAACAATGTCCCTGCCAGATAATTCTATAGGTTGGTTTAAAACTCCTGTAGGACTTTCCTATAAAGGTTACAGAGAGGCATCACCAGGCACATGTAATGGGAAAGCAAAGTCATCAGGGCAAGTTGAAGGGCAGTCTGTAATGGGGAGGGCTTCATTGTACACTCAGGGGCATGCACGGCTGCTGCATAGCTGTGCCCAAGGACCCTGGCCAATTTCACAGCCAGCTGGATGGCAACAGCAGGCCACAGGTGACTTCCACAGGCCTTGTGTTCACAGGGCTGGGATCGACGCGCCAGCAGAGCCTTCCCTGCACAGGAACCTCGATAATAAAAGACAAGCTTTTTTAAAAAAAAAAAAAGTCATTCTGATTATTTCTCTAGACAGACAATCTCTCACCTTGTGGGCCCAGTAAGCTCCATAATTCTCTGGCCACCAAGCAGGCGTGAATTTCCCTCCCCTTGCTGTTTTCTCTGCCTTCTTCCCCTTTTATCAGAGGAGCTGGAAAGTAACTTTAAACCCCCTGTTCAGATCCCTTTAGCTGCTGTCTGTGTAACTCTATCACCTTTATCTTCCTGGGCTTCTCCCTGTGTATGTTTCAGTTCCAAGCAGCAGCACAGACTGACAC